AGGGAAGATATGGTCATTTTCGAGCCTGAAACCTGAAAAACATTCATTTAAATAAAACACTACTCCAACCTCCCCCTGCACTTACATCCTCGTGGATTCATCTTCTTATTACAGACACATGCATTTCCTAATATTCGGTCTATATGCTGTAAAATGTATTATCTCTTCGATTTACACACGGCATCTATTGCACGTCTGTCCGTCCTGGGAGAGGGATCCCTCCTCTGTTGCTCTCCCTGAGGTTTCTCCCATGTTCCCTTAAACTGTGGGTTTTCTCTGGAAGTTTTTCCTTGTACGATGTGAGGGTCTAAGGACAGAGGGTGTCGTTTTTCTCATACTGATATTCTGAACAATCTGTGCTGTTGTATTTGCTGTAAAGTGTCTCTACTGTAGGCCATTTTTATTATATGTACAGCACTTTGGCTCGACCAAAAATCGTTTATAAATGTGATATAAATAAAACTTGATTTGATTAGCAAAAGTATTTTAATCCCTCGTCTTAATTGGCAGAAGTGGCTAATTGTTGTACTCAAGAGGGGACATAGGATAACTCAAAAAGTACACAGTAAAAGTACTCTTAAGTAGTATTGTATTTTTGGTAGTTAACTAGTACTGAGTCCAACATTTTCAGTCTCATGAAGAACGTAATAATGTTATCGCTCATCAAAGATAGCAGAAGTGTGTTATTTTTGCACCGTCTAAAAGCAAAGATTATGAACCTATAAGTACAGCGCACACATGGGGCAAACTAGCCAATCAGAAGCAAGGGTGCCCTGGAAATGGAAACGAAACATTGAGTGGTATACTAGTATTAACAGTAAGAACTAAATTGGGGAAAAATTGAAAAACAAAAAAACGTTTGTTTTTTTCAATTATACAAAAAAAACAGACGGTTAAAACGTACCTTCGTCGCCAGAGTACCGTGTTTATTAAATGTCTTCAATATGAAATATTGTATTTACACTGTGCATTTCTTTGATGTTCATCTTGTTCATACAGTGGATACATGTTACTTTATAGGGCTCCTTGTTGTTTCTGAGGTAACAGAGATTTTCTTCTTTGTTTTGTCTTTGAGCACACACTTATTTTCAATAAAATAATATGAACAATATAGATAAAACACTGTAGTCCTATGTGCCCAAATATAGTTAGTTTCAGTATTTCTCAATAAGTGTATCGCTGAAGTCTAACAAATGTGTTGAATATATTTACCTTCTCAGAGTTTCATTATTTATTATTTAAGTCTTCAAATCATGTTTTATTTACATCGATGTTTGCTGTCCTTCAGTATTGGAGTATTTGCTTGCTGTGCTGCCTGTGTACAGAACTTTGCATGTGCATCAAAAAGCTTTGCTCTATTTAACCCTTAGCAGTGTGCGAAAAAGTACACGTCCCACCGTCCGGGACGTGCTATTTACAATATCGGACAAGTAGATCTTTCAATTGACTTGTCCGGCGGACAAGTGACGTTTTTCGGCCTGATTTATTGACAAATTATTGATACATTCAGTTTACAAAAGGCAGAACTCATTCGCAAATTGTACGTGTCCGCCATTGTTCGTTTAGAAGTGTTAGTTTCTGTTCTGCTTGTCGATTCCTAAGGAAATGCATATCGCCGCTTTCTGTACTGTTAGACGGGGGCGGGGCGGAGCGTGGTGAGAAGTGTAGCACTATGGCAAGGTTGGGAAGCAAAACTCGGTTCCGAGTAGGGTTGGGAACCGAAACTCGGTTCCAGATGAGAACCGATAAGAAAATGCCGGGTACCGGGTACCCATACAAAATACACAATTTCGGTTCTGCTTAACGGTTCCTAAACGCGGTAGACCCTGTATTCCAGCGGGTCCGTCTGCACCGCGGTGCTGCGGTGACCCGGTGGAATACAGGGCGGACCTGGAGAATCACAGAACGGCCGGTCGTCAGCGGGCCGTTGACGGCCGGCTCGGTACGCTGACGGCCGGCACCGCCCTTCATTTTTTTAAACGGCATCATATAAATTGCGCTGACAGGCGACAAATGTCCACAGTTGCTCCGCAGCGATGCTCCCCCGCCCTCCCGTAGACATTTCACAAGCTCAGTCACTTCATAACACCAAAGATAGGTCGCGGTAAACACTCTGAAGTGAGGCTCCACTACACTAAAAAAGAAAAAGAAAAGGCAAAGTGTAATGCCTGTTAATAGCTTGCCACAGGCATAGCTCAGTTAAAAATAAAGCACAGCTATTGTGCAATACATTTGTATTGCATGTATATTTTTTAGTAACAATTTCAGTTAAAGCTTTTAAGAATAAATATATTTTTGTTATCTAAACGTTTGACCTCTTTATTTTACAATGTTGGAATCGAAACGGGGAATCGATAAGAACCGGAATCGATAAGCAGAACCGGAATCGAAATCGGAATCGATAAATTTCAAACGATACCCATCCCTAGTTCCGAGTAGGAAAAAATAACAATTGTCCGGTACAGGGATTAATAAGAGTTGTGAGGACAGGAGGCGAGGCCGAGCCCCGCGGACTGCAGCTCTATGCTCCGTATCAGCTGATCGCTGCATGGTGCAGCCGTGCAGCTCAGCGTCTCTCTCTCTCTCTCTCTCTCTCTCTACATACAGCGGATCCGCTGCCCGTTTAACAGCCTCATCTTTGTCAAACTTTCTTATGTTCTTTCTCTAACACATAATGAAGGTTATTAAGCGTTTTAACTCCTATGTTGTTAATATTGACCACCATTTCCTTTATGAAGTAAAGCAAGCGTCTTTGAGTTGTAGAAAAACGCTAGGCCTATAGGCTATACATCTAATGTGTCATTATTATTAGGCCTATGTGTTGGACATGTGTGGTTGGACTCTGTCTCACAGGCAGGTTGCAGTGTAACATCAGAGGAGACTGGGCCAATTGTACATTCTCAAACTGCACCACTTATGCCCCGGCCACACGAGGACGAAAACGTGTGCGTTACTGTTTAGTGTCATATAGACCATTCGGCCACACGAGGACGACCGCATACGGCACTAAACGACTGAGGAAACGACAACGGGTCCCAAGGTGGATAGAACGGCATACGCAACGCTCTGGGGGGTCAAACGGCTCTGTGTGTACGCCCTATACGAACATGTTCTGATAGTGATTGCGCAATAGCAATAGCCCCGCCTCTCCCCACCTCTGCTGCTCACCTCCGCGTACCCCGCGCCATTGCTGATGTGTTTCGCCACCAACAACAACAACAATGGCGGATCGCAGAGTTGCTATCGTGCTCCGGACGCTACTGACCATGCTACAGTTATTTGTGCAACATCTACAGCAGACTTACACATCCGGGGGGATCTTACTCGCTGCTTTTGTGGATATGTACTGCAGCTTCAGCGATCATTTTCTGATAATGATTGCGCAATAGCCCCGCCTCTCCCCACCTCTGCTGCTCACCCCGCGTCAAAGTAAACTGCACACTGAATTCAGATTATTTATCTTTCTCTCGATATGGACATAAACGCGAGTGAAGTCTAATCTGACAGGACGGAGACACCTCTCAAACTACCTAGTTATAAATATGTTTATTTTTACTGTCGGCCGGGTCACTCATTACTGGATCAGCTGCTGCATGAAACAGACACTGACGCTGTCCAAAGAGAGGGTGGAAAAGGAGAGGCTCCGTGTATTTTTATTATTATATTATATAGAGTCGTTATTCATTTGTTTTAAAGCTCAATAAATAACAAAGAAGACCTTTGACCGGCACTTTTATAATTTTGTCGGAAGGTTTAAACTTTAATACACGTTGACTGGCGAAAAACTCTGCCCGGTTCCCTCGGCCCCCACCGCGGAGAATAAACAGAAGGGCAACCATGACAACCATGCTTCTTCGCTGCTTTTGTGGAGGAAGTTACAGCGCCACGTACAGGCTCCTGCATATGTACTGCAGCTTCTCCAGCGGTTGGAGCTAAACGGAGCGGTCTCGTGTGAGCAGACACTATCCGGATAACTATTGCGTGTGGACGGAAGCTTGTTTGCAATTGCGTTTGCGTTAATCCTATGCGTTTAGCCGTTTTCGTCCTCGTGTGGTCGTGTGGTCTTAGAACTAACTAAACAATGCAGAGATTATTTTTATATAATTGTATTCAATAACCGTAAGAAATTCAACAGTATGAAGTGATTTGTAAATAGGAATACAGATTTGACTTAATGTTTTCATAAATATATTTTTCTCCCAGTTTGTCATGGGACTTATTTTTACCCTCTCAAAGAACCGGAATCGAGAACCGAAAATAACCGGAATCGAAAAGCAGAACCGGAATCGTTAAAATCCAAATGATACCCAACCCTATGTGTGATGCAGTAAAATCTTACCGCTCACTTACGTTAGCGGTGTCGTAAAAACCGTGGGAAAATGTAAAATACGATGACGAAGAAGAAGATTCCAGTGGCCCCAAATTTTTGTCCATTCTGGACAAGTGAAAAATGTATTCGGACAAGTAAATTGCCAAACTCACTTGTCCATGGACAAGTACTCTCTAAAAACTTTTTCTCACACTGCTTAGATGCACGAGTGACTGGACCTTACACTCTTCCATAAGTGGGTAAAAAAGGACCTGTATTAGAATAATACGTGTTTTTATGCCATTTTTGTCATTTTGGTTAAGAAAAATCACTTGTATAATATTTTGTATTATATGTTGTTCACACTAGAAATATTTTATATTTAATTTTTCAGTATTTATCATTTTTTTACATTTTGAAAAAAAAACATAATTCCATAGAAAATGCATGCGGGTCATTTTTGACCCACTTATGGAAGCTTGGGGTAGTAATACAAAAACTACAATTCCTTCAAATTTAAATAAAACATTTGAATGGCATGATATCCAAAACATGTTTTTTGAGGAATAGCTGGAATATGAAATGATAAAAAAATGTAATTACAAAGATACTCCAAGAAAACCACCTCACCGGGTCAAAAAAGACCCACTTATGCATCTAAGGGTTAACTACTATGCATGAACCTGTAAACTGTTGTATTTTCGAGTTTGATAATGCAATTACATTTATTTATTAGCATTAGCAAAATCAATGCAACATCAATACAAACATTCATCTTAAAATAAACACACACACACACCAATCAAATGAGTCTCTGAAACAAACTGAAGAGGTAGGGGGACAGTTCGCTTTTACCACTCAATCTTCTCACTCTTCCAAGGCTGCTGCTCAGTATAGTCGGTTCTACACACACAAAGAAAAATAGTCAGATTGTATAAAAGTCTATAGGAAAATAATCTTACTTCTCACATGATTTATTACTTCAGGAAATATTTAAAAGGTCCCATGACATGGCCATTTCTACTGATCATAATTCCATTGTTGAGGTCTACTAGAATCATTGTTCAATGTTCCAAACTCAGGGCTGGTTTCTCATACAGCATCTCTGTATAGTATGTGTATTCACTCTCTCGGCTTGTAGGAGCTCCTGCCCCCTCCCTATGAGCCCACTGTGTTCTGATTGGTCAGCTCGCCCACTCACCATCACCACCGTTACAGCGGAACATCAGTGATTATGTGTTACAATGGCGTTAGCAACCAGAAAATGACACCAGTAATGACAAACAGATGAGAATGCTGCGTGGGGTCTGGGTGCCATGTTGGCGGGATGTTGCGGGGCTCACTGCTGCGCCCTTTGAGCGGACATTGTGAGCTGGATTACTGGTGTCGTTTCCTGGTTGCTGCGTGGGGTCTGAGAGAGTTTGTGTGTGTGCTCAGGCTGAGTTCAGGCTGAGAAATCCGCGGAGCAGCGGCTGAGAAAAGATAAGGCTGAGTGAGAGTGTGTGAGGAGCTCCACGGATTGGTCCATTTGGACCTGGGCATGGTTACGTCACTGTACTCAGGAAGAAAACATTGGAAAACGAAAAATCTCCAATGAGGCGTTCTGGGGCAGCGTAGACAGGTATTTTCTGTGTTAGAGTTTTACTCGCTACAGGGTGTACTTTGAGGGTTTGTGACTGCAGACCGTTTACATGCATAAAAAGCTACATAACACACAAGGGGACAGGTAATAACCGGAAAAGCATGACATGGGACCTTAAACTGTTGTGATTATGGTCTCAATTATAATTTAAAGTCTTCAATACAGAATGATGTTGGTTTCGTAAATGATGCTCTGATTTAGAAAAAGATAGTGTATGCTTTAAAGGTCACCTATTATGCAAAATCCACCTTTACATGTCTTTTATACATAAATATGCATCCCCACTCCCCAGTGTCTTAAGAGATTCAGAAAGTTTCAGAAAAAAGCAATGTCTCTCTTTTACTACTGACCCATTTATATAAAAACCTGTCTGATAATTAGCTGATCAGATTTGGCAATGGTGTGACATCACAACAGATGTTTGGGTTGTGCAACCATTAACCAATAACCAACCAAGGTAACACACGCCCACCTTATAACCTGAATCTACTCCTAGAGCACCATTGTGGTTGTTTTAACCAATCGATTCACAGAGGGGTGTGGCTAGCAGCAGTGCATTACCATTTAAAGCTACAGGCACAGAATCAGCACTTTTGAAACAGGTCTGAAACAGAGGGGTTTATGGCAACAATGCATGATCTGTTTGGTACTTTGAGCCAAACACTTCAGAGACATGTTTTCTATACATCTGAGACCTATAATATATATCTATTTTTTAAGTATAATAGGGGACCTTTAAGGCATGGCTACCTTATGATTGACAGGTCACTACCGTGTCTGGTTTGGGTCTTGTCTGTGGTTTTGTCTCCGAACATTAACCCTTTCACTGTGGGTTTTGTGCCCAGGAAAGGTCCAAGTGTCACTCCTGCTTGCCAAAAACAAACCCAAAAGGGTCGAAAGGGGCAACTACGTCATCTTCCTATACATAGTCGATCTGAGCCCAAGGGGTACAGCGATAGACAATATAATTTTAAGCTAAAAATGCAAATCGATCAAATAAAATCATTGTATTTAAGTGGGATAAGTCTGTTGGGACTACATTTGATATAAATGTGGTAAAACACTATTATTACCCCAGATAGATGTTCTAATCCTACTACTGTTGCAGAGGGCCTTCACACAAACACACACACACACGTGAAATATTGGTTGATGGCAACGGTTAGATAAAAAAAAGTGTTGTTTTAAGATCATCTTACCTATCGTGAACGTCTTCTTGCTGTGAAGAAAACAAATGATAATCATTTTTGAAGATATCAACAGTGGTGGAAAGAACATATTTTCATGAAGTATGAATAGCCCGTCCTGCATTCATGTTTAAGTAAAAGTACAACGGTATGCAGAATGGTCCTTTTCAGAGTACATATCACATTGATGGAATACGTTTATTGATGCGTTTATGTGCTTATCACCTTGCCGCTAATAAAGGTAAGGCGGAGCTCATTTCAATGACTTTGTCTGAGGGACCCCACACTCACCTAAGTACAGGTAACACAGCAGCACACACAGGGTGAGCAGCAGCGAGATCACAATGTAAAGCATCCAGCCGGTTGGCTCTGAGTAGAGAATAGAAAACCAACATGACCTTTATATAAATGTCTATATACAGTCTATAGCTGTCAGACTTTACAACCACCACGGCCCCTGGTAGACCCCACACACATATAACAACAAAGAATATAACACTCCTGTTGTCCAATACTACTTATGTGCAATATATATACAGTATATCTACCGTAAAAAGCTGTGCAATTTATATTATCACCTTTTATACTTTCACCTGGCTGCTATTTCGCTAAACTGTTATTAGGCGCGTTCACACCGCAGTACTTTTCCCACTTTAGTTCTGATATAGTTCCGAAATGTTGCGTTCACACCAAAAAAATCCGGAACTAAAATGAGTTCATGAGAACCTTTTTACCCAGTTTTGGAGAAAAAGGTTCCTATTTCTGATTGCCAGGGTGGATTACAAACCACGGCCCGTAAAATTCCCAAAAGGTTTTGTGAAGCCGCCATTTTATTATCCTCGCATTGCATTATTAGCATTAGCCCAGCGCAGAAACGCAGAGAGACTAACTTATGGCAACACAAAAGAAAACATGGGAGCGGTGGAGATAAGGAGGTGTCGGCGTTCTGGCGATTTACTCGGAAGGCTTCAGTAGAAGCTGCTGGGAGTCCCAGCAGCTTCTACTGAAGCCAGTCCCCAACTCCGGGGACTTCCGGCCGGGGACTTCGGGTGGCAGTATACGCCGTGAAGTGGTTTGCGGCCTGCCATTAAACCCAAAGCAGAAGAAGAAGAAGAAGAAGAAGAAGAAGAAGAAGTGACGTCAGCGGCTTCATTTGCCTAATCCTCCCCCAGGGATTTATTCCGGTGTGAGCGCGATCTGTACTTAGTTCATGAGAACTCTTTAGTTCTCATGAACTAAGTTCTGATGAACCTTTGTGGGAAAAGTACTGCGGTGTGAAAGCAGTACTTGGTACTGGATGTGTATTTTGTAAATTGTGTAATTTCTATTTTTTTTTACTTCAAATTTTTTTTTATGCATGCTTCTTAAGAGATATTAAACTGTCTTTGGCTTTTTGTTGTAACAATTATACATTTCCCCTTTGTGGGATGAATAAAAGTATTCTGATTCTGATAAACATGACGTTAGGGTCAGATATGCTCCTCTGTTGATGTTCAGTGGTAGCTCACAAAACTGCAGTGTAATAGGTGTTACTAGTGTGTTATGGCCTGACGAGGGCTGCTACATTATGGCAAAAGTCATACAAAATATTATTTTGGTCAATATTGACACATTGACCATATTGCTCATTGACTTCGCAAATATAATGTGGATTTTCTTGGTATACATTTATATACATACATAATTTTTTTGAATATATATACATATATAATGTGGATTTTTTTTAATGTATACATATTTAAAAAGAGATCAAATATATATTAAAAACATATATATATGCTCGACAAAATACATATATGCACATATTTAAATACATATATTGGGGGGTTTTTATGGATGAAATATATTGAAATGTTATGTTTTTTCATAAAAAAGGTAATTCTGATGTAAGTGCACAACTGTAAAGGAAAGGTTGGATGCACTGGATTAATAACACAACAACAAATTGTGTGATTAAAACAGAATGTGGCACAATAATCGTTTTATCCGGATTGTCTTGTTTCATAATCAATATCATCATTACAAATAAACCTAATAAGCTTATTAACTCAGCCCTCCTCCACTCACCCTCCACAGTCAGGGTGAAGCTCTTTTTGATGGGCACCCTCAGGGACTTATGGGATACTCTGCATGTGAACTCCCTTCCTGAATGCTTGAGTGCAGCCCGCAGGTAGAAGAAGGCCGTCAGCGAGTACGTCTTGTCGTTGTTGTGTTTGTGGCTGGACAGCAGAACGTTCTGGAGCTTCTCGGGGAGAGGAGCGCCCACCCTCTGACCCGCCACCGCCGGGTCCTGCATGTACCACTCGATCTCCACATCCAGAGGGTAGTAACTGTCTGCCTCACATGTCACCCTCTGCTCCCCGCCCTCCAGCAGCGTCAGAGTGGGTCCAACGTTGAGGGAGACCCTGGGAGCCTCTGAGGAGAGAATAAAGTCAGATCATCTCAGCAAAAGCATTCCATTATGAGTTTGACTCCAGCTGCCAATCTTGTGTGCAAAAGCAAGTATGTTTTAGGTGGTACAGTTACTTCAATAGAGTAGTGCAGGGATGACGTGATTTTATAGGCCGACTCGAAAGTTAGCATCGCAAGGGCTCCTTTGACAAAAAGCAATGGGATTTACCTATTGGATTTAGGTGTATTGCATAAAATAAGAACTGAGGCAAATGCACGTTTATGATACTTAATACATTTTGTTTAGCAGAATAATCTCCATATATTAACACCAATGTGTGATTTTTGAAGCATAAAGCAATCGCCAGAAGTAAAAAGCTAACGTCATGCTATTCACAAACTACTGTACATCAGGGTCGCATGGCTGCACATCACCTCCGCTAAGCTAAAGGAGGACTCGGGTCAGCGTGATGATGTTTAGTAGTCTCATTTAGTCACTGATTAGCAACCGCCGTTTTCAAGACACATAGCTTTCATAATTCATGAGTTGAGTATTTTATTTTCTGAAGTATTTTATGTTTTAGAACATAACTGGAAAATATTGTAAGCTAGCCAAAACCTTATGTGATGTTTCTAACTACAAAGTAACACAATAAAAACGTTGACTTCGAGAGGATAAATCGGGTTTTAGGACTCATTCTTGCACCACTGAATTCAGTGTCAATACCATGTTTGTACATTTAATATAAACTGGTGTGAATACAACTGTTAGCTTAGCACATCACTTGAAACAGCTAGCCTAGAAGAAACATACAAGCAAAGCAGGCAGCACAGGTATTTCATTGTAACTTAGTTTTGTCTGTCACTGTAAATCCCCTCTCTTCTTAAGTCATTGTCACATTGTTTTTATTATTATATATATTATTTATCCCTGTGACAAAAACAGTCCAAAACAGGCTTCCCTACCAATTACTACGGTGACGTCACTAGTGCTTTCAATGAAAAGTTTAAATATTTGACACTCGAAGCGCTCGGAAGGGACACACAAAAAAAGTGAAGCATGGATTGGAATCATTGAATCATCATTGGAATCAATTTTAAAAGAATGCTGGCAAGTTGCAAGTTTTCTTATTTCTGAAACAGATACTCTTTAACTATGAAAGGTAACTCACATTATTAATAGCCCAGAAATGTCAGTCTGGTCTGATCCTGTCTTTGACTCTTCCTTACCTTCGATTTGCAGAACAATATCCGTACTGACGAGCAGTTGAAGCACGGACACTGAACAGATGTACGTCCCTTCACTGCTCAACTTGGTGAAGGGAAGGGTATAGGAAGCATCTCCGTCTGCCAGGCTCCTATGTAGGACCCCGGACCCCTTGCTCTGTACTGAGCGGCTGCTGTGACTGAAGAGGCTGGTTCTCTCTCCACGCTGCTGCAGGAGCCACTCCACATCGAAGTTTGGTCCATGGTGGTCGACAGCAAACTGGCAGTGGAGCTTCTGTTTGGAGCCCAGGCCTGCTCTCACTGATGGAGTTAGTGTTTTCATTACCATGGCAGCTATGGACACGGAAGAGACAAGACACAGGCACACAGAGACACACTTAGTTCTTAAACATGAAAACTAGCCAGAATTACATTTCAATATGGAACTGACGTTAAATTAGAAGTTACAAGTGTTATTTGTTACATATCTTCAAGGTAACAAAATAATCCAAAAACTAAGATAATTTGTTATGATTTTGAGTAAATGGGGCCAACGTTTCACAGCAACAAAACGTTATCAAAACATCCATTTACAAACCGACAGAAACTCATGCAGTATCATCACAGTCTCATATGCTCAGTACTACCCAAACACATGCATTTTCACTGAAACCTTGCTATTCAAAACACAACGGTACTGATCTTGGAGTTCACTGCAAGAGTGTTTAAGAGTAATTTTGATTTTGTTAATTTCGGCCCCCATTCACTTCCACTCACAGGACTTTTTCTCTGATTGTGGATTCTCTTTTACAGAGAAAACATGCAATAAAAACAACATTTCCCTCAGGATTTGAAGGTAACAATAATAATTAATATCTGTGTTTTGTGCCTCTACTGTGACATGTTTACATGCTTTAATGTTCAGAAAGCTCTTGCTTTTTCTCATTCTGCCTGTGCTGCAACACCTGTTTTCACCCTCTGTCTGAAACCAGAGCCCAGTATCCTCTGATTGGTTAGCTGGCATGCTCTGTTGCGATTGGTCAACCGCTTAACCCTCCTGTTGTCTTTGGGTCAAATCTGACCGATTTACTACTTTCATCAATCATACTGTAACTTTTTTGTTTTACGTTCGATTGCATTAAGGCTTTATGATATCCTTCACAGAAGACATTTGAACATATACAATTGCTCATCACCACTTTCATTGCATTTTGGATGATTTAGTCAACTTTGTAACACTCATGGTGTTCCCGCTCAAAAATGACCGCCATAAAGAAAAGGAATTAGTAACCATCCGGATCATACTTAACAACCGTCCCGATTTTCGCAGGAGACTCGCAATTTCATAGCCCTCTCCCGGTTTCTTCCCGGGGTCATATTTCTCCCGCATTTCTCCCGATTTCTGACAAATTCAGATTTACTCAGGACTGTTTCCACTCTGACTTTATTACAGCTACACCATTGTTTGGTTTCCATGGTAGCGTGTCTCTTTAGTAGCGTGCGCAACTAGACAGTCACAGAAAAACAGAACAAGAATGACAACTCGACCCTCTGCTCACTCCTTTCCTGGTCCAGCCCACACATATGCTCCATCAAGAGGATGTTGCTACAGGCCGCAAGGCATTGCACTCAGAACTACAATAAGCATGTTAATGTTAATCTAACAGCTCCCCCCCCCCGCGGTGGTTTTGAAATGCTCCCGATTTCTGAGGTCTCAAGGTTGGCAAGTATGGATGAAATACACACACACACACATACCATGTATGCATCACTTCAGGGGACATTACATTGACTTACATGCATTTCCTGGAGACTTATGCTAACCATAACCAACACATGCCTAACCCTAACCCTTACCCTAACCCTTAACCTTACCCTAACCCTAAACCCTATGAGCAACCTCTTGCGTAAACTTAGGGCCAATTTTGAGGGGGCTAGGGGGGACTGTGACGCGCTGCGGCCATGCCGGCTGATCTCCGCCTACCGGAGGAACAAAAATCTCCAGGACCTTCTGGTCCACACAAATCTCAACAAAAGAGCCAAAACTAGGGAGGCGCCTTGGATTTCTGAGGTTGATTTCATTCTCCTCCCCCACCCTATGCTCTTCCTCAACCTAACCCTAACCCTAATCCTAAACCTAACCAAGTCCTCACCCTAAAATTAATGATTCCCCTCATGGGGACCTCCATTTTGTCCCCATAAGGGAGGCGAGTCCCCACACGTGACTGTGTAGACAGATTTAGGTCCCCACAAGTATAGTAATACTAGGCCACACACACACACACACACACACACACACACACACACACACACACACACACACACACACACACACACACTAGTGATGTGGCTCAAAGAGCCGGCTCTTTTAAGTGAACGACGGGAGCCGGCTCGCGCCCGCGAACGAGCCGTTTTTTGTTAAGTAATACAAGACAGAATGATATGATGATTTCCACACTACAGCTGCTCCGTGCATGCATGCAGTGACATAATATCCAAGGATTAGAGACTGTTGGATGCTGCTGTTTTGAGCATTTCAATATATTTATTTTCACTGTTATTTATTTATGATTACCCTTAGGCTCAGCAAAGATTTGATGTCAGCTGCTGCTGTCTTTTTTTCTATAGTTAATAGTTACTGAAATAGAGCCCTGCTGTTTTGTCAGGGCCTTTTCTTTAAATATAATTTTAAAATGTCGATACAGTAGCCCCTTTTTTTAAATGTCTATGCTTAAGTTTGTATAGGTGTTGCTATCTGCTTTGTGTAGCGTGGTTCTACAAGCAAGTCAGTGCATTCATTGGGTGGTATCAGTAGTGCTGTAGCGACGCGTCGACTTCAAAATATCGTCGACGACATATTTCCGCGTCGACACGTCGCTACACACACATGGGTCACCCAAAGCAACAAGCAGTTCGCAATCGCACTTCAAACACAATGGAGACTGAAACGGCTACCACCTCCTCCTCACAGGATTGCGCACGAAGCCCCCAAACGAAAACATCTCGCCCTAGGTCTTCAAAAGCATGGGAATATTTTAAAGTTAGTCCAAAACGCAAAGATATTTATATATTTATATCTCACTGAGACTGCTGCATAGCCTAGCAGAAGCAGCAGCTAGCTGTGGTGGCTACCATTAGCAGCTAGCATTTGCTCTCCGATTTTTACATAAAATGGAATTATGGATTATAAATGCAATAATTTTTTTATACATAGACGTTAAAAACCTATGGATTAACCGATTCAGCCGCGTTTTTTCTCATTTTATTGCCATTGAACACGTCTTTTGATCAGATTACGGTGGTGAGACGATCTCCCGAGAAGCTCTGTGAAGGTACGTGTTGTGATGACTGTATTTGCTTCCCCTGTCGCGAGTCCGGATCACTCAGTGATGATACTATATACCTACTTAATCTGTGGAGTCTCAGCTTTAATCGGATATATTGTATGTGCAGCTACGATAAGTAATAAGAGTACTTTTATCTTGAGTTCTGTGCCAATGTCCGTTAGCATTTTTCGCTCAGGGGTCATTTAGATGCTTCTTATGAGACTTGTGTTTTGTTTTGGTAAACATGGTTTGTATCGTCAGTTAGCTGAGATTATTTCCGTTAATCTGGTATAACACATGAATAGGTTCTTAAATATTAAGATCCCCTGAGACACAGTATCGTGAAAAAAAAAATGTTTACATTACGTTTTTTTTACATTACGTTTTTTATGAATTGAGCAACAGAAAAATAATCGTTAGATTAGTCGACTAATCGATCAAATAATCGCCCGATTAATCGTTTTCAAAATAATCGTTTCCCCCCAGCACTATATCAGAGAGTTACACGGGTCTGTAAATGCAATGAAAACATTTGGCCACAGCAAATCATTTATATTAAAAATGTAATTTTTACTTTTGAATACTTCAGTACAAAGGATGTATTGAATAATTTAAGTGATATATGTGTACACATATAAATCATTAGTCAAAACAGGGCTCCATTTGATTTAATTATAAAAGGTATAATATGTGGTAAACTGAAGAGCCGTTTGGGAGCCGAAAGAGCCGGCTCTTCTTGGTGAGCCGAGCCAAATGATCCGGCTCACCAAGAAGAGCCGGAATTCCCATCACTAACACATACTCTAGATGTACCACCCCCCCCCTATGTGCCCATCCCCCTATGTGAATCACACACAAACACACACACAGAACAATTTGACACATTTCCCGCTCTTATGTGCCCATCCCCCCACATGGATCAAACCTGGCACACGCAATACATGTTCAGTGTCTATTCTTTGTATATTTACTGCAGTTTTTCATGTATACCAGTAGTCTGATACAATATGTACAGTTTGAAAGGGTGTTAAATGAAATGTGGTGATGATTAATGTTTTTTGTGTTAATGTAATAGCAGTTAAAATAGGACCGGTCAAATTTGACCGCGAACACCAAAGTAAGGGGGGGGGGGGGGGGAACGAAGCAACACATCCTCACTCCCAGGTCGGCCTATGTTGACGTTATGTCAAGTCCCCTGTGTCGGCTTTTTCCAACGCAAGGGGGGGCGGCCGTGTCGGCTTTTTCCAACGCAAGGGGGGGCAGCCCTTAGCATACATTTTCAACTTTCCGGGATGTCCATAGGCTTCTATATAGCTCCCTAAACGTATGTTGTAGACGACTTGAGATCGCGAGCGAATGCTACCCGAAGATCCATTCTCACAGCGTTTATCAACCTTTTCCTTACTCAATATCAAGCCACACTTATTGTTTTTACTTCTTTATTTAATTGAATAATGTAGGACTTTTGTTGCCGTCAGTTATGGGGAGAGTAGGGGCTCAGAATACTGAAATCTGTATCTAGGCTATCTGTATTAATGGACGTGCCCTTGTGCGATTGCGTTGCTAGGCAACACAATAATTTACAAACTCTTCAACTACAACCCTAATTATATTTAAAAACATTTTAGAAGGCCTCACGAAATACTTTAATGTAAATTAAAATGTAAATGTGAAGGGATGTGTGTAATGTGGTGATTGACATTATTCACCCACGGATCTATGGGTTGGGGTATTGTTCCGCACGGACATTTTAGTTAACCGGACTTCCTGTTGATGTGAAATACGAAAACATTTAAAAAAAATAAAATAATACTTTATTCCGAGTTTGCTTGCTTTTCTCTTAGGAGGTCATCACATAACGGCATTGTAATACACGGTTCGGCTGCATTAAATATTACATATCTGCCGTTCGCTATTTATAGAGCCCTGATGAGAAGACTTCTAGACAAACAGGAACAACTTCCGCCGAAACTGAATATGTGACGTGTATCATAAATATATCAGCAATTAAACAAAATCTTCAATTTCTCTTCACAATATAAGTCTCCTTGCAGTATCAATACTAATTCGGCTGACTTTTAGATTTGATCCAATCAGTATATTGGTATATTTACACCATACCGGTGCAAAGCTGATAGAAAGGGACACCTGGTGGTTAAAGCACATTATTCAAATGTATTATTTGTATTATTAGATAGTAATAGGAGACACATACAGACAAACTAATAAGGCTTTATTTAAACATTAAAGAATACTTTAGGTTAAGGTCTTATTTTGAATAAGAAAAAAGCTTTGGCGGTATAAATATTAAGCCTGACAAAGTACTAATATATTGCTTTCCTGCAATGTTTACTATTGTATGTTTAAGCACTTATTTTAACTGATATTATACATATGTATTATACTCTTATAAGATGTATGTAGATAGTATAAGAAATGTGCAGAATATGACAGTTTAATGGTGGAGGTATACACACATATTGATCGATGTCTTGTAATGCACTGTTGAGGAACCTGCGACCCAAGTTTTTCATCTCCGACCATGTTAGGTATTGAACATTCAATAAATAAAGAACACAGAATTATTAAATAAAACACAGAATTTGTGTGATTATACTAAATAATTTACAAATAAACACCACTGCATATTTACAACTGTTACACATTCTCTTGTAACTCAAATGTTTCCAACTTGGGATCAATAAAGTATATCTTATCTTAAGATGATCGACTGCCATATTTGCAAAATTTGGCTCTGAACCTTGACAAGTGCATGTTTCAGGCTTATCAATTAACAACAGGAGGGGTCACAGACATAAGACCAGCTGTTAAATAAAGCTCTTCTGACCCTAGCTGGCATGTGGGTATATATTAATGCAATTTTCACCCATTTATTAATTATATGTTTTAAATTTGAGTGTTTCCTATCCCCTAAACCTCCAGGGATGTACACAGTTTAATACTGGCAACTTCTTATTATGGGAAATATGAAAACGTCTTTTAAAACTACAATTCCCAGTAGAGACGTGCCATAGAAGTTAAACATGTTGCGAAACACACAATAGCCAGCATGTGTAGTTCTGGGGACGGGGTGGGGGAGGGGGGGATGGGGTGGACCCGTTAAAATCCAGTTTTGGACAGTCTGCTGTGGTTCCATCCCATTTCAAAGTGCTGTTCGACGCTCGGCGTAACCCTCGGCGCACACTCAAACATCCAATCACAGAGCTTGAGGACTATCACGGGGTTTGTCAAGCGAAGTGGAGAGAATACTTACTTCCGGGTGTAAAATTCTCTAAAGCAACTAGGCTACTATGAGCTGCTCCGACCCTCGGTCCTGACGGACTCCAACTTGTGTTTATTAATCAAACAAATAAATAAACACAAGGATAATTATGTGTTATTGTTGAGTAAAACAGTGTGTGGTTTAGAAAAGAATACAAAATTAGAAGGAAAAAACGATGAAACAATACAGATTTCAGTATTCTGAGCCCCTACTCTCCCCATAACTGACGGCAACAAAAGTCCTACATTATTCAATTAAAATAAAGAAGTAAAAACAATAAGTGTGGCTTGATATTGAGTAAGAAAAAGGTTGATAAACGCTGTGAGAATGGATCTTCAGGTAGCATTCGCTCGCGATCTCAAGTCGTCTACAACATACGTTTAGGTAGCTATATAGAAGCCTGGACAAAGTTGAAAATGTACGCTAAGGGCCGCCCCCCCTTGCGTTGGAAAAAGCCGACACGGCCGCCCCCCCCCTTGCGTTGGAAAAAGCCGACACGGCCGCCCCCCTCTTGCGTTGGAAAAAGCTGACACAGGGGACTTGACATAACGTCAACATAGGCCGACCTGGGAGTGAGGATGTGTTGAACGAAGACAATAGGAGGGTTAAAGATGTCCCGTCCCTTAGCTTATCACGTGCATGTGTTGGAGTGCTAACCAACAGAAATGTAGCGGGTACATTTTTTTCTTTAACTGTGTGAAAACTCCACCTTTTGAGTGGTTGCTAACATGACGTTTCGAGCAGATCTCATAAGATCCATGAGAGTGTCCTATAAACAGGGCTGCACATAACTGGTGCGCAGGTGCGCATGCGCACCTCCGCCAAAAAAAGAGCACTGGGTCATTTGAAACAAAGCGCATTTGCGTACCAACATTGAGAGAGGGAGAGAGGGAGAGAGAGAAGGGAGAAGAGAAAATAGAAAATAGAGGAGAGAGAAGAGAGAGAGAGAAAGAAAGATATTTGCGAGTTGCATATGAACCATGATATGAACTCAGGGTTGGCCCGTAGCACTGGCTAGATGTTCGCCTAGGGCGCCAGATCTGGGGAGTCGCTGCGCTGGCAGTTCTGGGAGGGAACAAAACATTTTGACCGTTGGGGCTCATCCTAATTTTCGGCCTTGATGTAACAATATTCATAATTAAGTAAATGTAACACCCTTTTCACCCCGGTTACACGTTTCATTTGCCCTGTACGATGGGCGCTGTAAGTGATGAAAATGGGGGATGTTGGTTTATCTGGCGCCCGCAGCTCACAGCCAAAATGCGAGGGAGAGAGGGAGGGTGCACCGGTACCAGCGCTGTTGTTATTAGAATCTGGTGCCGTGCTAGCTGCTCTAACGGATATAAGAAGAAGATGTTTCTACAATAATGTGGAGGGAGAGTCCTCTCCAGTCAGACTGAGAGGCTGATACTACAGCTCAGTGAGGTAAGGAATCTTAGTCTAAGTTCAAACGGTTTGGTCACAATTTATGTAAACACATATTTCCAAGGCACTCCTTTATAATTATTGGGATAAACAGGTTTCAAATCATTTCAATGTATAAGACAGTAACCAAAAATATCCTTTAAAACTGGAGAGATAAAAAAAATGCATAAATAAATAAATGTTAAGGTAAAATAAGATATGAATGAACAACACAAATAAAATAAGTTACATTCATTTGTTATTGGCTATAGGTTATTGGTTATGTTCACATACTTATTTGATTACATCCACTTGTCTAAGATGACAACAGAGACTTTCGACCCAAACCCAGCTGTTGACTTGTGGATGCAAGCAGCTAATTGCAGACTCAACCAGAGAGAAAGTAGTAGGCCTACATCATCAGCTACCATGTCTGACAGAGAGGAAGACAGTGAGGAGAACAGTCAGGAGGGTAGTGATGACAGCTTGTAGGATTACTGGTTGTGCTAATGTTGTCTTGTGTTCACCTCTGTGTGTGTGTTCTGTGTTCACCTCTGTGTGTGTGTTCTGTGTTCACCTCTGTGTGTTCAGTGCCGTGTGTCTGGCAAATAAAGTAAAACCCCCTCAAAAGTTACGGTTTATTTCATTTTAAGGATGAGCACCAAGCAACATCTCCAGGTGCTCCTTTGAGAACCAGGGCCAAAAAGTTATGTGCACCCCTGCCTATAAACATCATTACCATGATGACAAACTTGATGAATAAAGTTGTACCAAAACTTTCACTTGTGAATTTACAATACAAGGTTGTATCCCAAAATGATTGAATAGAAAGACATGTGTTGAGTGTTACTTGTTGTGACGAGCATCTCTCTGTCCCCGATGGGAGTCCAGCTGTTGTAGTCCTGCTGTCCCGGGGCTGCTGTGTCCGATGGGTGTCTGAGGAAGCCTGTGATTCTGAACAGGCCGTTGGTGTGTTTCAGGGTGCAGATGAACCAGTGGTTGTACTCCCGGGCCCCCAGCACTGGCCAGCGAACATGATTGCCCGCTGTGCTGTACCTACGCAGCTCACACTCCAACTGCTCCGCCTCCACTCCCTCCAAGTATCGCCGCAGGTCCAATTTAGAGACTACAACACAAAAGATTACATTATAAAACAATAGATTTTAGTCTGTAACTCAATCGGCTGCAGGTCTTACCAGTAATCAGGAAAGTGATTCCATGTGGATTAACAGCAGCATCTCCTATTTGACCAAACTGCAGCAGGGCCTCTCTGTGGATGAGCTGAGTCTCCGTGTGACCCTCTTCATTCTTAAACACGTGTTCATCAGTGAACTGACAGGGCAGCCATGACACCTGATGGACACACTGCACACCTGAGAGACACAGAGGGAGTCAGTGTAGTTTACAAACATATAGTACAGTATAATGTAGTGATATACTCAGGCTTGGGGAGTAAGGAAGTTCATGTAACAGGATTTATGAATCAGGAAACGAAAACATTTCACTATTCCCTTAAAGTTACATAAGTAAAAGACGTAATCAGATTACTGTTACATTTAAAAAAATTGGGGATTATTAGCAAGACTACAAGGTTACAATGCATTTTTTAAATGAAGAAACAATATATCATTTTGTAGACTTCACGAGAAGTACAACACCAAGAGGCACACGTCTCGATAGAGCCTAACTGTATATTAAACAAAAACAAAGCATTTCCTATTTGCGAAGGTTTTTATTTATGCCTTTTAAACTGTAGTATGTGTTCATGTGTTTAATTGTTGGTCTATAGCCTGAATTTGTTGGAGGAAAGCTTTAAAGAATCGCTGTGCAGACAGAGGACATTTTTTTTAAACAAAGTATCTTGGTTTCTTGCTTTTTAAGTTGACATTGTTCTGTTGTCTTACATAATAATTTGTTATTCTTTATTTGCATTACATTAGATATGAAGGTAATCCAAAAGTATGTTTTATTGTGATCCTTAGAATAGGGTACAGATTCCTTTCCAGAATTTTGAGTAGTATATTGCAGAATAACAAAGTTAAATACAGCGTAGTATAATATAGGCTTCTGAAAATGGTCCCTTTTGCATAGTATATTACAGTACAGTTTAGTATAGTGTTTAAAATCGTATACACATTATTTAATTATAGTACAGTATAGTACAAAAATAATACACTATGATGAAGAGTAGTATAGTGTAGCATAGTATAGTATACAGTAGTATAACACATTTAATAGTACAGTGTTGAACAGTAGAGTGCAAAAAAGTACAATTTGTGCAATTAACCATTACGATATAACTCAGAACAGACAGAAAGTATTATTCACTTGGGCTAAACAATTTGATATAAGTCAATTCTTTTTTTTTCTGGGGTCTAAAAGTCAGATTTATCTAGAATTTCAAATGCAAGCTGAGTCATTTTTCTACATTTAACTGAAATGTGCTCACCATACCTCCCAGGATGCAAATTGCCCTCACCTGAAACAACGGCCTGTTAACAGGTGTAACCAGGGATTTTTAGTCTTTGCAGTCCAAAACATCCAAACTAAAGTTCAATATTGAAAGCTTGAAATTAGGTTTAACCCATGGTTTAACCTTAGCAGAATTTATTTACAACAATTCGCAACAACAGAGTTCAACAGAAGAACGCTTTTAAAGCTATACTAGTTTTTTAGGCAGTGAAAAAGTCAGATTTATCCAGAAGTCCAAATATACTATACTTGTAGTAGAGTACATCATAGGAGAGTATAGAGTAGAAGAGTGTAGCACAGTTTAGTTTACTGATAGTATTATATATATATATAGTATTGTGTAATATAGTCAAATACTGTGGCTACAGTGCAGTACTTCGTAGGAGTATAGTAACGTCATTCATGAGTTATGGGCTAATTCACAAGCCAAAAATATGTACAAAAGCTAAAGAAAATAACTTACCTGCACAAAGATACAAGAAACTAAGTATTTTTAAGATGAAATACATGATCATCTATTGGTAGAACTATATACTTGCTGCTCGAGCCCAACAAAGACTTCTCTACGGTTGAAAATTGACTTTCACTTTCATTTCACAGGGAATATTTCTTGCTTTGCCTGACTCTTATACATCACGTGATTGAATGTCACTGAGAAGACATTTTCTGATGTTTAAGTGGGTGCATTTATGTTGAAGACACACATACATCGCTAACGTCCTTATTACAGCTAATTCTGCAATGAGTTATTATTATTGATCATTTTTCGTTTTTACACCGCGCCACACTTGCAGTACCGGCCTCCTCCTGCGGTGTCGCTGTGAAGATGTCTGAACTCTGCGGGTCCCTCTTCATGTCACCACACGTTGATGTGACCAGCGGAAGCGCTTGATACAAAACATGCTTCTAAAATCGTGTGAAAAACGAATGATATTAGCAGACTTTATCTGTTTGTTATGCTATACTCCGGTATAATGTGCAGAACTGGTGCTTTTGTGAAATAAATACTGACCGCCTGTTGTGGTACAGCTCATGAATGGGAATTGAAATACCGAACTAAATTAGCACAATAGCTAACCTGCTAACTAACTTCGGCAGTTATGGCATTGATGGACAAAGGTAATGTACACCTTTTGTACAATATAGACATACACAAATGTATTAAATATTGTAAATGTGACACTGCAGTTTATTCAAAGTCTTTAAAGCTTCACTCATTATCATCATTTGAAACGCAATGTGCAGAAAATAAAGGGAAATACAGTATGTTCTTTCGTAAAATGGTCTTACATTTTGCTATTAATAATGCGACATATGCAAAGCCTAATTGCAAAGAGTTTAAAATAAATAAATGGTTAATGCTGTTGTCTACCTTGCTCCGGGGTTAAGGATTGATTGAATGACAAGAAACCAGAACATGTAATATAAACATCTTCCAAAATATGTTAAGAAATATTTTATCATGTTCTATATTTTGATAGAAGTTATCTTTAACATGTATTGTTCTACATCAGAAATGCAATATTTCAATAATGGATTAGTCCAATTATAGATATTAAGTAAGGGATAATGTTATTGACCCTATCCCTTTTCTAGTATAATAATGCAGCTGCTTTAATTTGTAATTTGATATTAAACTGAATATCTTTGGATAATTAAGATCAAACGCTAAACAATAATAAAATACATGCAGCTAGCTTGGGCTCTTATTTGTTGGTCAAACACTTAACTGAGACCAGATTATCTTCCTTCTAGGAGCTAACATCCAGTGTCAGAATTGGATGTGTACTTGTGAAAGATTGTATTTTTTAATTAGTATTGACGCTTGCTTTCTTGTGCTTTCAGATACTGCGGTTCTTCAGGGTGCTTTCCTCCTGGCTGATAAACTGTCTCTCCCCTCGTCCCTGTCCTCTCTTCAGAAGGCTGACTGGAGCAGGGTGGGCCATCTGGTCCTGGAAGCAGTGCGGGAAATCTGCGGACAGGAAGAACTCGGTGTTCACCTCCCTGCAGCGGCTGTGAGCTGTATAAAGAAATTAATTTGTGCTATTTGGCTGAAGGTGTTCTGCAGGGAGGCTGTAACGGACGTAGAGCTGTCCTGGAGGGAGAACCCTTTCTTCCCCCTCCAGAACGGCCTCCCCGAAGTCAACTATGTTGTCCTGCTGGAAGTGGTGAGGTCGTTAGCAGCTGCTCCGATATTTGCCCGTTTCCTCTTGCATCTTCCCCAGTCTCAGATCGCTACTGAGCTTGAAAGGTTGGTGCAACACGTGAGGAGCGGCCCCACTAGAGAGGACGATGTTCGATTTCTCCTGGAGGTGTGGTGGGAGCTGTGGAAAGGGCAAGATGAGCAGAAAGAGGAAGGAGAGGATAGCATAGAGAAGATGTTTGCCGGACAGTTTGCTCGGCTCTCGTCTAAATCTTCCAGTCTTTCCCCTCAGGCTGCCAAGAGGCTCAAGCTAGACGCTTCAGATCTACCTGCATCGCCGCCAACCGCTGATGTCGTAAACATCCTCCTTCATGCACTTAAAGACATAAAAGATAAGATATCTACAACAGATCTCTGCCTTCAGGCTCTTTCCATTGCTCTAGATACTCTTTACACGGCATTCCTAATAGACGGAGCAGTCGGACTTCCTGCGATAGAGAAGATGCATATCCTGTCAAAAGTGGTCCGCATCAGAGAACAGAATGGCGAGAAACTGACTCCTGAACTTTTAAAGGAGGCTCTGAGAGACCTACATGCGTCTCACACACCATCTCAGTTTGAACCCACCCGGATAAAGCTTGGTGAAGCCTCGAAGATTATAACAGATCTGGCTCAGTTCTGGCAAAGCAATGGGCTCCTGGGCACCTCTGAATCTAGCGGCTCAGCATTTAAACTAGAACAAAGTGTCCAGAGAGTCCTGACGGCTCTACAAGAAGCCGAAGCGCCTGAAACTACGAATGAAACAGACCTTCAGAAGTCTGAGAAAAACAGTCTCAGCGGTTTCCTGGAGTCACTATCTTTCCCCGCCGCAGAGAGCACCCCTGAGCTGAACGCCCGGGTAACAGCAGTCATCATCAAACACCGTCTGGACGACTACCAGAACTTCACAGAGTTATTTGCCAGTGAGAAGAGTTGGGCTGCCCAAGATGAGCTCTGGTTCGACTGCCTGGAGAAGAACCAGGCAGCCTTCCAGCGGCAGGAAACGCTGATCAATCTGACCTCCACCATCGTGACTAAACTCCACAGCGAGGGCTCCAACGTGAGCCAGTGCAGGAAGCTGATGAAAGTGGTCGCGGACATTTTCTCAGCACTTTCACTAGAAGACAAGAACAAAGCATTGGCTGCCATGCTGAGACTGTCCAGCCGGGGCTTCTTTGGCGGCTCCGTCCCCTCTGCGGTGACCGTCGCGTTCGAACAGGAGCTTAACATGGCCTTCAACTGCATCATCCAAGGGAGGGGCGGAGCGTCGGCAGCAGCGTCGCAGGCCAATCTTAACACAGCAGTGTCTTTGGTAGCTAGAGTCGTGTTCCAGAACCCTGAAGCCGCTTTGAGGTCTTGTTGTCATTCCGCTGTGTTCAATAAAGGTGCTTTCACTCTGATGGCCAAGATCCTGCAGCAGCTGCCAGGACTCAGAGGACCGAGGGGAAGAGAAGATGAACTACAAAACGATGAAGACGCAAGCAAAAAGGCAGAAGAAGAAGAAGACACTCAGAGTGGTAGCGCTCTGCTCTGCAGGTGTCTACAGGAGATGACGAAGACCAAATCGTTGTCAGCCAATGAGGGAGAGCAGCTGCTCAAGTTTCTGGGTCTGCTGATGATGCCTGTCATGGCCGCTGAGGGAGAAGAAGAAAGGATGGAAAGCTTTTTGACACCTCAGGAGGTCGTGAACGTCTTCGTCCTGCCTAACCTCTCCACCACAGGTGAGAGTTTTGTCCTATTTATAATCTGTTTTCCAGGCAGGTTTGCAATCATAGTGTAAGAATCTCTTAAAACATTATACTTTTATGTACATGAATGAGCAAATTCAACAAATCACCTCCCAGCCCCGTCCCCTTTCTTAAACCTCAACAGTGACACAAAAAACAACACTTAAGATTGTTGAGGTCTACTAGAATAGATTTATACTGTGTAATGTTCCAAAATCACATTGGTTTCTCATACAGTATCTCTGTATAGTCTGTGTATTCACTCTGTCCTAAACGGCTTGTTGGAGCTCCTGACCCCCACCCTCCCTGTGAGCCCAGTGTGCTCTGATTGGTCGGGACTAGGGCTGCACGATTTTGGGAAAACATCTAATTGCGATTTTTCTGACAAATATTGCGATTCGAATTGCGATATTTGTTTTTAAGCGACCCAACGGAAGTTTATTGTAAAATGCGGCCATAACTCCGGCTAGGAAGGTCGTATCAACGTGCTCCCGTCTCTAGCACCCCGCAGCCCGAGCTACGAGTGAAAGAACTAAACTTACATGAAACTTCCGTTGGGTTGCTTTAAAGTCAAGCTTCAGTTTAAGAGTCACCCTGTAATAGAAACATGTGATGGAGCATTACTAACCTGACTCAGATGGTTGGTTTCACCAAAGCATCTAAAGCTCCATTGGAAGCCATTTGGAAAGGGCAGGCACTTTCAGAAGCACTTGGCAGGTGATTGGCCCTATCATGGGCTACTTCTGATTGATTAACAATGGCTGGTACATGTGGAGCACAGCACTTCTGATTGGTGTGGATGACTGACACACAATAAAAAATTAAAAAATAGTTAAAAAAATCGCAGGCTTCGCGATTCGATAATTGCATCATTTAAAATCGCGATTTCGATTTAAAATCGATTAATCGTTCAGCCCTAGTCGGGACGTTGCAAGGATCGCTGCTGCGAGGAGCGGACAGGTTTCCGGGTCAGTGATACAGCGAGACACAGCGAAACTCATCCTGAGCACACAAACACTCACAGCCGAAGTAAAAACAATAAGTGTAGCTTGATATTGAGAAAGAAAAAGGTTTATAACGCTGTGAGAATGGGTCTGCGGAGAGCATTTCTCCGCCATCCCAACTCGTCTATTACCAGCGTTCAGGGACTCCCTGTTAGTTAGCCAAGGGATCCTGGTGTGTGAGGTGCTCCGCCCAAATGGACCAATCCGGTCATTTGTTGTTGATTTGGGTGTTCACACGTCACAGAACCCAAGAAGCAAACAATAGAAAAAGAGAAATCTCCAACGAGGCGTTCTGGGGCAGCATAGACAGGTCTTTTCTGTGTTAGAGTTTTACTCGCTACAGGGTGTACTTTGAGGGTTTGTGACTCTGCAGACCGTTTACATGCAGAAAAAGCTTCATAACACACAAAGGGACGGGTAATAACCAGAAAAGCATGACATGGGCCCTTTAACACATGCAGTTGTTTGACCCATTGCTAATGTAATCTTTTCCTCCAGGTCACCGCTGCTTCGACATAGAGCTGAGTCTGCAGCTCCTGCACACGGCTCTGTCTGTGGACGCTCCCGTCTCTCCTCACTGGGTGTTGGGCTGCTCTCCCTTCCCCCTCCTCTATGTCCTCGCCCAGCTGCTAAACCAGACTCTCAGGTTTGTAAGATGCGTGCACGCATTTCAATGGGAGCGCTACAAGGTTTAATTCTTGGACCACTGTTGTTGAGCATATATATTAATGATAATGGTCATATACATTCATATTAGCTCTCAGTAGTAATGCTACACAAAGTGGCTCAATGATCTCAGTGACTGTGAAAACTATGGTATATTTCATAGGGATGCGCAGATACACCAGTAAGGGACACATGCTGCAGGACTTTGGCCCTGTATAGCGAATGTTTTCAGGATCGGTTAATGAAGTCCAACATTCATTGTTCCTAGGTGGCCGTTGTTTATATTTGTGACTTTGTTATACAGCTGCTATTCCTGTTCACTTCCAGAAACACAATATGCTCACTCACTCTCTCTCTCTCTCGCTCTACACACAAGTATCCCTATATAATCTTTTTTTTAATCTGAATGTTATGCATGGTTCTTGTTTAAAAAAGACCTAATAACTTAATCGCTTTCTATATAATATTTGATTTTGATATATCTCCATCCTCTGCTAGGTGCTGGGATCAGACACCAGAGGGCGCTGTGCACCGCTGGTCCATGGACACCAAGGAGCTGCTGGAGGCTTTGCTGACCCGGCTGGGGCAGCTGGTGGGGGCAGAGGTGGCAGCGTCCCCCAGCAGCTGGTCCAGAGCTCTGTTCTGGCTCTACCACAAGATGGAGAGACTGGACTGGACCATTCGCTTCCACCTCAAGCCCGTCTGGAGGGATCACTTCAAAAACGAGGTTCCCGCCTCTCTGCTGACTGTGTGTGATCTGCCGGAGCAGGTAAGATGATCTGTCTCTATTGCCCCTTTCACACCAGCGCTTTTTCAGCTCCGGCTCGGAGCCTGAAAAGCGCCGGTTTTTCCTGTTCACACCGCAGCGGCTCTTAGCTCCGGAATCCGGTTCACTTCCAGCTCCAAAAAATTGTCGGTCTAGGCAAGAGCTTCGGAGCTAAGAGGTGGCGTCGCTTACGTCTCTCTTACGTCGAGGCGTGCAGGAAACTAAACCCACCTCCCCTGAACATGGGTCGACTGTCATGCCTGCCTACAAGCAGTAGTGCTTATAAACACACTTTATAAAGTCAGGCAACACTAACCAGGCTTCGTGTGATTCTGTTTATTTGTACCTTACTTTGACCATCCGTTCACTGTTATTGATCATTGTGGAGAGAGGCAGACGTTTTGTTTTGTATTATAGCAGCTATCGGATGGAATCAATACATGGGCTGCACAGGTTGTCGTGTCCGACTATCACAAGTAGAATCATAATAAAAATACGCCGGTAAAATGTGCCTGTAGAAAACGGTTTATGCCACAATAGGATAGCAATAGCAAGTAGTCAGTGTAGCTTCGGTTGCTATGCTAACATCACCCATTTTATACCAGAGAAACTTTCAAAACAGCGTTGTGATACCAAACAGCGTCAATTCAGACTGACACACATTCACTTAGGCTAAGGGGAACTGGGGATATGTATCAGCTGCTTGTGTGAGTCGGACAGTGAATACTTTAGAGCGGCCGCTGCAATGTGAGCTAACCCGGAGCTAACGGGAGAATAAACTCCCGTGGAAGAGCAGCCAACACGGCAGCGGTCGGTAAAAGCTGCAGAAACACATTAATAAACAATGAACCACGGCACTCTGGAGCAAAGTATAAGGTTGGAGAAGTCGTTATTCAATTTATTCTGGCTTTGTGTGATTAAAAGCAACACGATCATCGACCCAACGCAGTTCCCCGTTGTTGTTGTGAGCGCCGTAATGCCGTTGGGGAGCAAATCAGCTATGTAAACGGTGACGTCATGACGCAGCAGCGGCAGCACCAGTTGGGCTCTGGGCGGTGTGAACAGAGCGGGAGCAGAAAAGGGAAACCGGAGCTGAAACAGAAAAGCTCTAGCACGGAGCTAGAAAGGGAAAAGCGCTGGTGTGAAAGCCGCATATGTGCATGCCGCTTCACCCAATGGCAGCTTGTCGCTATCTTTTCTTGGTCACTCTACGTTAAGGCTTCTGGGACTTTAAAGGGATCTGGTTGACCATACAGTATATGACCTTCTGTGGATATTTCTGTATCTTATTGAGTGGTGCTGAAACAAGTGGTAATAATAATCTAAATTAAATCGGCCTCAGTCCAATCAGAATTTCAATTTTCTTTTATTATTAATAATTTAAATGCCTCAGTTTTCCTGATTAAAAAAACTGAGATTTATTAATGATTAGCAAAAACATAATACAGCAGCAATAGTGGAAACCAGGAAAACGGCATGTATTGACCCCAAAGGGCAAAAACGTCTCAATCTGGTGAAAAACTGTACAAAACTGCAATCTAAAAGCAAGGGCTCTGGAGTGAAACCAGATCAAATAGAATGGCCGTTGGATATAAAATGTGGCTTCAATTGGGACATTTGTATCCTCCACGGTCACTGTACTTTAGCTACAGTTTGTTTTTGAGTTATCCTAGGAGCCGAACGTCCAAAATCAGATCACCTACTACATTAAAATGTATATGTATTGTAACTAGGGTTGGGAACCGAAACTCGGTTCCAGATGAGAACCGATAAGAACATGCCGGGTACCCATACAAAATACACAATTTCGGTTCTGCTTAACGGTTCCTAAACGCGGTAGACCCTGTATTCCACCGGGCCCGTCTGCGCCGCGGTGACCCGGTGGAATACATAGCGGACTGGCCATCTGTGTGTTCTGGAGAATCACAGGACGGCCGGTCGTCAGCGGGCTGTTGACGGCCGGCTCGGTACGCTGACGGCCGGCACCGCCATTCATTTTTTTAAACGGCATCATGTAAGTTGCGCTGACAGGCGACAGGGGTCCACAGTTGCCCCGCTGCGAGGCTCCCCCCGCCCTCCAGACAGTTCACGAGCTCAGTCACTTCATAACACCAAAGATGGGTTGCGGTAAACGCTCTGAAGTGAGGCTCCACTACACTAAAAAAGAAAAAGACAAGGCACAGTGCAATGCCTGTTAATAGCTCGCCACAGGCATAGCTCAGTTACAATAGAGCACAGCTATTGTGCAATACATTTGTATTGCATGTATATTTTTTATTTGTAAAAATGTCAGTTAAAGCTTAAAAGAATAAAGATATTTTTGTTATCTAAACGTTTGACCTCTTTCTTTTATTATTTTTGGAATCGAAACGGGGAATCGATAAGAACTGGAACCGGAATCGGAATCGATACATTTCAAACGATACCCATCCCTAATTGTAACATTGTTATGCTGCTGGTGATCCCCATTTTTGAAAAAGTAGAATATAATAAAAAATGTTTTAACTGTAAGGGAAAACAATAACTTTTTTTTGTATCCTCATTACGTAATCCTGTTCCATGTATCGGTTACTCCCCAAGCGATTGAGGCACAAAGGTTCACACCAATGAGGTTTTTCTTGAATCAAGTTCTCCAGTAACATTTGTATTGCAAAAATCTTTACACAATAAACTGAGGGAACTTTGTTCTTGGAGACTCAGCAGACCAGACCAACAATTAATGACAGTAACTGCGGTGGCAGCTGAAATGTGACATTTTTACTGCTAAAGGGGATAACATCATTTTGTCAGTTCTGCCACGCTTTACTCCTGCTGATAACATCTGCCCCCCCCCCCCCCGTAGGAGTGGTCCGGGGTGGATCTGCCTCAGTACGGACAGGGCACCGGGCTGCTGGCCTGGATGGAGTGCTGCTGTGCGTCAGACTCCCTGAGGACCACCATGCTGTCCCGCCTCTCTCTGGACCAGCGGCGGGCCGACCATGTGGGCATGTTCAGCAAAGGCCTGCTGGTGGCCGTGACCCAGACGCTGCCCTGGTGCTCCGTCAGCCAGTGGGGACGGCTGCTGGGGGTCCTGAGGGAGCTCATCACCTCGGCCCGCCTCTACGTCCCCTTCTCGCTGGAGTACGTGGAGTACCTGCCCCTCCTGGACCTGAGGAGGTTCTCCTGCGAGCTGCGCCTGTCCGTCCTCCTGCTCCGGGTCCTGCAGCTGCTCTGTGGGTCCAGCTGCTCTGACTGGCTGTCCGCTGAGGGGTGGGGGCACGTCGGCAGGTTATACGCCCACGCCGTGAGGGAGGTGATGAACTCAGTCAGAGCCAAGCTGCCCCTTCCTGCCTCGGCTCCTCTGACCGTCTCCACGCCTCCTAAAATGTCCAAATCCCCGCTGAAGTCCAAAGAGTCCCACATGGAGGAGGAGGGGGAGACAGCTCCCTGCCAAGAGGTCCTCTTTGTCCTCAGCCAGCTCTTCTGCCATGTGCAGCACATCCAGGTAAGAGTTATCAACACCGCTGCCACGGAGAAGTCTGGATTCTGATTGGCTGGGAGGTTGAGCTAAAGATCACAGAGCTGGGGTTTATGAGCGTTGCCCCCACCACAGATGTCTCTTTTTAGAAGGTCGAAAACCACCAATAAAGACATGTATAGCTGTTTGCTAACAACTTTTAGAGAGTTTAAATAACTGTGACTAAACAAATATTTCACGTTTGATGCAAGTCGATGATATTATAACTGTTAAAGTGACTCTATCCACTCTATCAAAAATAGTTGGATGTTAAAGCAGCTCATTCTGAGATGATCGTGGATTTATGTTTCCAACCTAGTGTTTGATTTCAAACAAACCCATTTTTGGGTGTCAGAATATGATACTGTTATAGCCATATTCGGACCATACATTTACAGAATATCATATATTTTATATGCACAAAATACAGTGTTAAATTAAATCAAATAAAAGGTATGATATTAACCTCTGAAATGTAGTAGAGTACTATAAAGTAGCTTTTGATGGAAATACTGAAGTAGTACAAATGTCAAAAACATTCTTAAGAACAATACCTAAGTATATTTACCTTGTTACTTTCTAATTAACTAATTTATCTGAAGATCAGGATATAATTGGAAAGCTAAGAATCTCCTCTCTGTGTAGTAACACTCACTTAAAATGTGTTTCATGTCGATGTGACTGAGTGGTAGGCCTACTCCTGTAATGTTTCTAAATATGACTGAAAGTCTCATTGGCCCTCCTCTTCCAGGTGATGATGCCAGGAGGCCAGTGCGAGCCGCTGTTCCTGTGCAGCCTGGAGATCCTCAGCCACTACGAGGCCATCATGGCGGCGTTCCCTCACAGCAGCAGCTCTCTGGAGAGCGACAACACCCGCCACTTCTTCTCCACCATCACTGACAACCTGCAGAGCCAGGAGATGAAGGCGGTGCTGCAGCAGAAGATCGCTCAGCTGGTGTCAGCGGCAGCTTGACACACCGAGCTCCTGTGAAATAATGATGATGTCATACACTGCACTTATGAGGGTGATGGGAAAGGAGTTTGAGAGAATAAAAGATATTTCACAGCAAATGTCTTTTTGTGCTGCTCCTCTCTCAAACTGTAAAGGGTTCTGAACAAGATGTTGAGGCTCCGATATTTACATTAAATGATGTAACTAATGTTAGATCAACTGTTCTACCTGGTGCTCGCTGTGTTTAGGACATGTATACATTAGTACTCTCAACCACAGAATTAGCAAAACATATTTTATCAAGTAAAGAGTATTTGTTTTATTGGTACAAAAGTATTCTCTGCAAACAGTAAAGCTACAGTAATAACATCATTTAAGGTCGTTTCTCAAGTACATACAGCAGACAAACAAATCATTTCCAGTTCTAAAGCTACATTATGCCGTAGTGCATGGTGATTGAATATTGGAGCCAGTCATTGAAAGTCATACATTTAAAGAAAAAAAGTATTATTTTGATAAAGTGATAATATTCCAGAATAATCTCTAAAAAGTTACATTTTCAGAAAAATGAAAAGTTGGCGAGTGTTTAGAAAGTAACAGCATTTCAGACATAGAAATATTATACATATTATAGAATGTAATGAAAAATAGTAATTAAGTATTACTATACCTAATAAGTTATTGCTCGGTATATTTCAAATTCTTCCATTTAACTCAGATCAAATATTACCTTAAATATATTAGAAGGAAAAAAATGAAGTTCTCAAAATATTACAACTTAAATCTCAAACTATTACTTTTTTCCTCAAAATATTACAACTTAAATCTCAAACTATTACTTTTTTCCGCATGATAGTAACACTTTGTCCAAGAAAGACCACATTCCTGAATATATTAGATTTTTATAATAGATGTTATACCCCATTATATCACTTTTCATTCCTCCTTAATGGCTTTTCATCCCCCCCCCCCCCTCGGCTCTGTCTCAGGTACAGTCTCTTAGCTTTCCTCAGCAGCAGGATGAACCAGTAGACCTGAGGAGCCAGGATGGCCAGATTACCCACGTTGCAGTGCAGCGGCAGATGGAAGGCCACTCTGTGCAGGGGAACCCCAAACTGCCGGCCGTACATCCAGTACATGAAGGGGAAGAGCAGGATCCGACAGGAGAAGAAGCTCCAGAGGATGATGACGCCGTTGATCCGGTGCAGCCTGGTGTCATCGAGGCCCAGCTGAAGATCAGGGAACAAGAATGAATTCCCTCTGGAAGAGCTGAATAGCTTTTATCTAACACTCTTTACAATTAACATATCAGTCACTACAGATGGTAGCAAGCCAGCATGCAGGGTGTTGATCTGCGCGTTTGGAGCTATCTGGGGTTCAAGGTCTTGCCCACTTCAACAGGTGGATAGGAGAACAGCAGGGTGAGCGGAAACTCCACCTCCTCCTTTTCTACCTCACACAACTGCCAGTTTTGGCACTAAAGTCGATTCAGTAATGGGAAATGTTCACACAGGAAATGACGCTTCAAAATGTGTGTGCGATACTTGGATGTGGAAAAGTAATTGGTATGGAAGCCCAGTTTCTTTATGATGGATAAAGATAAAGAAATAAAAACAGCGGTTAGTGACAAGTGAATAAATAAACTACTAAACATCATCACGCCAAACATTAGCCGCCTTTAGCCTAGCGGTGGTGATGCACAAACATGAGACTATAATCTATAGTTTGTTTGATTGTAGCAATACTGCTAAATATGGCTAAAATGTTTTGATATCTTAATAGTTTACCTGGATGAGAATATTTCCGACAGAGACGAAAGGTGTGCTGAACTCTGTGGTGAACAAGCAGCCGATGAAGAAATCCCCCAGTCCCCTCCTGAAGAACTGCAGATCAGATGAGACACAGGAATCAGTGTTTGTACCAAACTGGTCAAACACACTACGTCAGGGATTCCTCCTGCAGACTCACCAGAGTGATGGGCATAAAAATGAGTAGCAGCGCCAGGTGATGGAGGACCAACATCCAGCCCTTACTGAGGAAGGCCTTCACCGTCTGAAGAGAGTGGCCGCTCAATGAGCTGGAATGACCTCTGACCCTCTGAGTGTGGTAGTGGCTCAGATACATGGCGAAGATGTCAAAGGCCATATAGGGAGCTCCAAACAAAACAAACCAGTTGACCAGCCAGTGACTGCATGGTGACACAGAGAGCATCTGCACTTAAATAACAGTGTTATGCAAACCTTAAATCTAACGTAAAAAGACACAGACGACAAAAACCCATACTGGTTAAATGATTTTAATTGCAGCAGTGTAAATGATATTAATGGTGATACAAACTGCATTAAAAAAAAATATTGAAATCATATTAATTCAAACATGACTCTCCAACCTGTCAGTCATGACGTCATTGCAGGATGCCACCACTGTGACTCCAGCTGCAGTAGCCAGAGATGCATGGATGGCGGAAACCAGCCTGAAGAAACATTTAAAATAATAAATTCTTCTTTGTAAGTCTTATGCAGAAAAAAAGAGACAGCAAACACATGGCTTGTGGAAAATGACACGACACTCCATTGAAATACATGCGAATTTAATAGATGTATTGCTTTTTGGCAGAGTGCATACATAAGTAAAAATGTATTTAGTACTTATTCCTTTCTGAGGTTGAATGTGATATCTTCGGCCAACATAGTACACACATAAGACCGAATAATTGTGAAAATTCTAACTTGTCATACGGTTCATAACAACATGTGTAGCCTGTGTATTGTAAGACAATTATGATTATTTTAAATCCGTGCCGAATTCACAAGCTCTTTATATAAACTAATAACAAACAGTTAGTAAATCTCCACAACGCATTTATATTGATAGATAAGCAAGAACTCATTACATCGGCGCATGTCTTAATGGAGTTCGGTGTGTGTGCTGACCTCTCACTGACGCAAACTACGTCAGCTTCATTCCAGTGTGTGAACCTGTCTCTCAGTCCTTTCCTGAAGCTAAAGAAAAGTGCTGGAAACACGACAGCTCCGCAAAGCAAGGCGGTCAACATGATCTCAGCCCTATGTCTCAGGTCTCAGCCGAGTTCTTCCTCTTCCTGTAGCCGCCGACTTCGAATGATTATTCAGGATGGCCCAATCCCAAACCACGCCATACACCCTACCCCTACACACACGCAGCTCAACGAGGCTCCCTCCTGTCAGATGGAGGGAGTAAATACAGCGGCAAGCTTTGGGACAAACTCCCCTCTCTCCGGCAGAAACAGGAAATGCCGTAACTGTATACATGTAACATGTAACAACGGTTTCAAATCAGCATCTCTTTAGACAAAACATTACAATGAATAACTAAAATAAAACTCCAAACATCTTTAATTGTGTTACTTTTTTGTAAAGCTCTTTTGGTTTTGCAAAAACTAACAGCTTCTTAGTTTTTGCAACAATCTGTAAATATACACAACTTTATAATAAAATGCACACATTTACATTTTTCTAGACTTTCTCTAAAATAATGACAAATATCTTATATGGATTCCCATTGGATTTCGTTATATTGCAGAAATATGCTGTTTGGCTAACACATCTTTATAATACTTACAACGTTTTGTTCAGCAGGATAATCTTTACATATTAACACTACTTTGTGCTTTTTAAAGCGTAAATGCAGATGCCAGAAGTTAAAAGCTAACGCTAGGCTAACTGCATCACAATTGCACCCATGCTAAGCTTAAGGCAGACTAGTGATGGCGTTTAGTAGTTTATTTAGTCACTTGTTAGCAAATGCCATTTTTATCATACAAGACATTTTGGGAAATTCACGATTTGGGTATTTACCGACATCTTTTATGTCGTAAAAACAAAGTATTAAAATATCTTCAGCTTGTGTTAACCACAGACCTTATTTCAGGCATTTAACAAAAAACACGTTCAAAAAAGGTCTGATTCAAGACAAGGGAACTGGAAGTTGTAAAATGTTAACTAATTTCCAGGTTTTCGGACTCGTTCTTGCACCACTAACTATATCATTGCTCTAGTTGCTCCACCATGTGCAGCAGCTGCTGTACTTGAGTCCGGTCTCCTGTATTTGTGCAAAACACTTGGTGCCTTTGTCCACATTTGCCCAGCAGCCACTGCAGAGGCTCTCCACTCTGCTCGATGTGATTCTCCACTGTCTTTCCTCTCAGCTCCTCTCCGTAGGTGAACAACACCACAGTGCTTCTCCACACATCCTGCCCCAAAAGGCTGAAGTGCATCTCCACCGCTCTCCTGTCTTTCTCTCTGAAGGAGCCCACCGGTACAGTCAGAATGAACATGACTTTGCTCCACACGGGGCAAAGGGAAGCGCTTCGACTGATCTCCGTCCTGACCTGCTTGGAATTGGCCAGACCAAACAGGCTCCACCCGGGGGAGTCCACCACGATCACAGGCCACCCCGATACTTCCCCATGGCTTACAGAGCACCTGGTGGTCTTTGTGTCGGTCTGAAACTCTTCACTGTCCAGGATCACGTTGCCTGCTGAGCTCTTTCCTGACTTGCTCCTTCCCAGCAGGATGAGGGCAAGAGCAGGTTTGATACCAGCTGACCCTGCTGGGAGTCCTGCAATGACATAGTGCAGCGATTTTTACATTTAAAATATTTGTTCCTTTCCGATCAAGGGCTGAATTAGAAATATCTCAGATTAGACACATTTAGAAACAAGTATGCGAACACTGCAACTCTTTATATTTTTCTCGGTAGAGTTCACAAAAAGTTAGCGTTATATCTCCATATTTTAAATTATATACAATTCCAGAAAACTTGTTTTACAAAAAAATATCGCCTCAATGTTAGTAATGATTTAGGGGGGTTTCATGGTGATATTTATTATCTAGAATGATGTCCCTCCCCTAGTCTCTTGCAAAAGGTATGACCTTACCTTAACACATCTGTGAATACAGTGTTTCTTACAAATTAGTCAGCCACTTTTGTAGCACATACTGTATCCTATACAATTATCATTAATAACCTGATTTATTTCACTATCATGTTTAGTCAGGTGAATATTATTTGTAACGCTTTTTGTAGTGATACAAAGAGATGATTTAAAAAGAAGATAACAAAATATCAGTGTGAAAAAACATTTAACTCATATGTCAACAAATTGAAACGAAAACGCTGAACCCGGCTTACCTCTGGGTATTAGTTGTAGTTGTTTGGAGGCCATCTGCTTTCTTTGCCATGGCCTCCCATCATGCATATCATGCATGACTCTCATTTCTATGTCTTCTTGTCTTCCTTGCGACCTCCTCGCCTCCCTTAAGCTCACTTCTCGTCTGAGCTGCGTGTACATCCTGTCCTGAACTCCTCTGGGACGCTTGTTCGCCTCTATCATCTTCTGGATCTTCTGAAACAGCTCTGCCACCTGAGCCTCTGAGGCCCCAGGCTGGTTGCTCAGAACCTGGTACCTGTTCCCACATCGCTCCAGCAGCCAACGAAGAGTTTGACCTTGGCGCCTAACGTGCTCCTTGATAGGGAGGTCTCCTGCAGAAGAGATCACCTCATTGGTTGAGTCAAATATCAATGGACAGAGCCAAAGGACCATCACTTTAGTTATGAAGGAAAGTCTATAGCCTAATGCTAAAGTCAGCAAGACACAATGAAAATGATGTTTAGCAGGTATTATGGTAACCATCTTACTTTGTGTTAGTATGCTAACATTTGCTAATTAGCCCAAGCGCACACAGCTTAGTCTGATTTGCAGTATTTGGTTCAAAACGATGACATTTTGACTGGATTATGGAGCTTTTATTCATTCTGAGATGAATATCGCAAATATCTAAACCAAATGTATAGTCAATCTATCCAAACATCAAGATATTTAAGGTTATTTTAAGTTAATAAAAATACAATAGCTGTTGGGTTCCAACATTGCATTTTGGCCAATATGTTCCGCCTTTTTTACTTTCAACAAGGACCTTTAAATGCATGGACTGATCAAACACGATTGGTCAATACTACTCAGATTACAAACAGAAACCAAAAAGCTTCCAGTATCTAAATCTTGATCCGTTGCATACATATTTTTGCATTCTTATGCAGAGATCTGTTTTAACAGATTAGGGGCCACCAAAGTCAATAAACATCTGAACCCAGTTTCAATCCAATCAATGATATTGTTGCAATATTTTGATCTGAAATGTTCATAAAAGGTCAAAATGATTTATGTATACCCTCACCCCCCTGGTTTCTGATCAATTTTATTTCGATTGTACCTTGGCAAGTCTGAACATCAGACTGTAAAAAATGTGGTACTGCACATTGGAACAAATGATGTTGTGAAACAACAGTCAGAAGTACTGAAAAAAGACTTTAAATGTCTGTTGGAAACTGTCAGCTCTCTAAATGCAGAGGTGTTCATCAGTGGCCCTCTACCGCCAGTCAGAAGAGGAGTGGAGAGATTCAGCAGATTGTTTGCACTGAACACCTGGCTTTCAACTGTCTGTACTGACCATTCTGTCCATTTTATTGACAACTTTAACTTTTTCTGGGATCGCAGACATCTTTTCAAGGCAAATGGAGTTTGTCTGAACAAGTCAGGAGTGAAATTGTTTATCTCTAACATATTCGTCTGCCTGCGTCATCAATCAGTTCCCTCTGCCAAGGATAAGCAACAAGAGGAATCAAAAGAGAAAGACACAACACATCGCTCAGAAAACCTTGAAAATCTATCACTGCACCCGCCTGAGGAATCTTCTGATTATGGGAGACACATGGAGGAGTCTCCACTGCCCGTCACCCCCCCTACCACCTCTGAGGATACTCTTCCTTCACCCCACAGCTCTCTCTACTCTCCGTTCACCCTTTCACCCTCGCCCACCCTTCTGGAGATCGCTGAACACATGAAGGAGATACAAAGGGTTGGCACCGATTCCTTCCTGGAGTTCAATAACCAAACTAAGGCGATACGCAAGGCTGGCAGCATTTCCTTTACCCCCGCTCCTCAACGACGGCCATCAAAATCACAGAAGCAGAGACGCGCACCACCTCCCCCGTCTCCGTCACCGTGCCTACGTCAACCACCTCCTCCCCCTGGACGCGCACCAACACTCCCGTCATCATGCCTACCACAATCATCCGGACCAAAACGTCCTCCCCCCCTTCAAGACTGCTGTCTCCGAAGCCTGATAAGGATGTGTGTGTAAAAAACGCAAACACTGACTGATATATGCTGGGTCCAGGCTCAAGGGCGTATGGCACTCTCAACTCTTTCCAGGACATGCCGGGGCCCAGCCTGCCAGTAGCTTTGCCGATATCTGTGTTGATAGGTAATAGATTAAGAGCGGTGAATAAGCTTAGACACAGGAAGCGCTCAAAAGTTTGTGTGAGTTTATCTAATTTAGCAGTGATTCCATGTTAGCCACAAACTTAAACTAGCTTTATTAAATGTCAGGTCTTTGACAGGTACAACATTTTTAATCAATGATTTTATCACTGAGCACAATCTCGATTTTATGTTTTTAACAGAAACATGGATTGAACAAAATAACAGTGCAGCTGTTCTTATCGAATCAACCCCTCCCAACTTTAGTTTTATGAGTCAGGAAAGAATGCATAAGAAAGGAGGTGAAGTTGCTATTCTGTTCAATGATTCCCTTCAATGCAGGAAGACATCTTATGGGAACTTTGCTTCTTTTGAATATGTGGCCCTTCACCTGAAATGCTCCTCTCGAGCTCTGTTCCTAAATATCTATAGACCACCCAAATACTGTGCAAGCTTTTTTGATGATTTTACCGAACTGCTGTCTATAGTGTGTATTGACTTTGACCGTCTAGTCATTGTTGGTGATTTTAACATCCATGTTGACAACCCCCAGGACAGAGGGGCAAAATAACTGTTTTGTGTTCTTGATAGCTATGGACTGACTCAGCATGTGACGGAGCCACACTCTGGACTTAATTATCTCAAAGGGTCTGAATATCTCTAAGGTTGTGGTGACTGATGTTGCACTCTCTGATCATTCCTGTGTTTTCTTTGAGAGCTCTATTTCTGTTCACAAAAATGTTCAAAAAGAGGTAACCACAAAGCGATAATTAATTGAAAATACTAGGGAAATGTTTACTCAGAATTTTTCTACCACACTTGCCCCTGCTAACATCTCAGTAAATAAGCTAGTAGATCATTTTCATTCAAAAATTAAAAATGTTATAGATGCCATTGCTCCAACTAAGGTAAAGGAAGTGTCTGGCAAGAAAATATCTCCATGGAGAAAGGCCATGACCGTGAGAACAGAAAAAAGAGAATGTCGAAAAGCTGAACGCAGGTGGCGAAAAACAAATCTCCAGGTTCACTTTGAAATCTATAAAGAGAGACTTGGCCTTTATAATATGGAATTGAAATTTGCCCGACAGTCTTTCTTCTCTGATATCATTGCCAAAAACAAAAACAACGCACATGCCTTGTTCGCTACCGTCGACAGACTAACTAACCCCCCAGTGTCAGTGCAATGATTTTGCCTCCTTCTTCACTGACAAAATTCAGAAAATCAGACAAGCAGTCAGTGCCTCTGCATCAGGTACAACAAATGTGTTGTCTCTGTGTCCACCTAATATCAATTCAAACACCATGACACAATTCCATTAGATTAATGATAAAAACCTAGAGGACATTATACAACTTCTGAAATCCTCCTCCTGCTGCCTTGATATTATTCCAACAGGGTTTTTAAAAAATGTTTTTCCTTGCATGGCCTCAGATCTACTTCATATAGTAAACAAGTCTCTTCACTCAGGTATTTTTCCACAGGCCCTGTAAACTGCAGTCATTAAACCGCTCTTAAAAAAGCATAATCTAGACGCTTCAGTAATGAACAATTACAGGCCCATATCAAACCTCCCATTTCTAGGTAAAATCATTGAAAAAGTAGTCTTTCAACAGTTGAGTAATTTCTTGTATTTAAATAGCTGTTTGGATGTGTTCCAGTCAGGCTTTCGTCCAAACCACAGCACTGAGACTGCTCTTGTAAAGGTCTTTAATGACATACACTTAAACACAGACAGTGGCAGAACTTTAGTGTTAGTATTATTAGATCTCAGTGCTGCGTTTGACACTGTTGACCACAACATATTACTAGACCGACTGGAGAACTGGGTGGGACTTTCGGAAACAGTTCTAAATTGGTTTGAATCCTACTTAAAGGACAGAAACAACTTTGTTTCTATAGGTAAATACACATCTGAGTTGACAAATATGACATGTGGGGTACCTCAAGGCTCCATCTTGGGGCCTCTTCTCTTTAACATCTACATGCTACCACTGGCTCAGATAATGAAGAACAACAAAATAAGTTACCATTGCTATGCGGATGACACACACATTCACATAACCATTTCACCAGGAGACTATTCTCCAGTTAAAACACTGAGTAAGTGCATTGAACAAATCAATGACTGGATGTGTCAGAACTTTCTCCAATTAAACAAAGATAAAACTGAGGTAATGGTTTTTGGAGCCAAGGCAGAACGTATAAAAGTTAGCGCTGAGCTTCAGCCTGCAATGTTCAAAACAACAGATAAAGCCAGAAATCTAGGTGTAGTCATGGACTCTGACCTGAGTTTCAACAGTCACATTAAAACAGTTACTAAATCAGCCTACTATCACCTAAAGAACATATCTAGGATTAAAAGACTAATGTCACAGCAGGATTTGGAAAAACTTGTCCATGCTTTTATCTTCAGTAGACTCGACTACTGCAATGGTGTCTTTACCGGTCTCACTAAAAAATATGTTAGAAAGCTTCAGCTGATTCAGAACGCCGCTGCTCGAGTCCTCACTAACACTAAGAAAGTGGATCAAATCACTCCTGTTCTGAAGTCTTTACACTGGCTTCCTGTGTGTCAAAGAATAGATTTCAAAAATACTGCTGCTGGTTTATAAAGCACTGAATGGTTTAGGCCCAAAATACATTTCTGACCTCCTGCTAAATTATGAACCATCCGGATCTCTCAGGTCTTCAGGGACTGGTCAGCTTTCTGTCCCCAGAGTCAGAACTAAACATGGAGAAGCAGCGTTCAGTTATTATGCTCCAAATATCTGGAACAAACTCCCAGAAACCTGCAGGTCCGCTGCAACTCTGACTACTTTTAAATCCAGGCTGAAGACTTTTCTTTTTGTCGCTGCTTTTAATTGAAACTGAGCCGTTGTGTTCATCAGTAAAGTGGAACTTCTATGTGAACTATTCATATCTTAAACTGCTCTGTAACTTTTTATTCAAGTACTTTTTATTCATGTATTTTTTCTTTTAATGTTTCTTTTATTATCTTTTACTGTTTTTAAATGCCTTTGTCTGAATGTCTTTCATTTTTGTAAAGCACCTTGAATTGCCTTGTGTTGAAAGGGGCTATATAAATAAACTTGCCTTGCCTTGCCTTGGCAATACAATTGTTGCTGGGGGAAAAAACCCACAAAGTACTTGTTGAGTTAATTTAGGCTTGTAACTAATTCACCAGCACTTACTATGGTATGATCTTGCATGAAGTGAATATATCTGCACTTTCCTTGTGGTTCAGAGTTTGCATCTTTACGGTTTTTGCCCTTATTGTAAATCGCTTTGGATATAAGCATCAGCTAAATGAAATGCAATGTAATAAAATGGTATAGGATTAGAGTTGTTGTTCTTTCAAGTTTTATGAAAACCATGACAGTAATATTTTGCTACTCTTGTTGACAAACAAACCTCCTTGGCAGAGGTGTTTAACTGGAAACTTTCTATCTGACTTTTATTCACTGGCGAGTTAAGTGTGCGTCAATTACGTCAATATAGCGGGTCCTCAGTGGTTTAAAGTGTTGGCTTAGCCTCTACATTTAGTAGTCAGTCGTATTGCCATTTGGCCAATTAGCATTTAGACTCAGTCACATGAACAGTGAGCATTATGTCATATAAAATGTTTATTAGTTTACCTAACAGGTCTCCATGAGTGAAGAGGACCATAGCTCGCTGCCAGATGGGGGTTTGGAGCAGTCTGAGCTGGGCCTCCATGGCTCTCCACTCCTCCGGGCCAAAGGTGGAGGTGGTGGGCAGCACCAGCAGGATGACATGGGGCTCTGGCTGGCAGAGGGACACCCCTCTGCACAGATCCTGGGACACCCTGTCTGGAGTGGTGCAGCTGGTCAGCCACCCTGGGGTGTCCACCACTGTCACCTGATTGATCAAATGAAGTGAGTGAAGAGGAGATTTTGAGGTAAAATTAGTCAATCAAAGCTTTAAAATTGTATATTTACTTGTATTCCAAAGATGGTGCCGGTGTCTTTGGAGCTATGAGTTGTTTTTTTGCAAAAGGCAGGTTTCCCAAGGATGATGTTTCCTGCTGAGCTCTTCCCACTTTGTTTCTCACCCAGTAACAGAACCACCAGCTGGGACAGGCTTGACTCTGGACCTGACAAAAGTTAAGGATCCCCTGATCATACACATAATCTATCCCATCATCTTTCTTACATTTCTTTAGAGTGACTCACCCCAAGAGGCTGCCATGTCAAGTTTTCTGTTTTATATAATCCACAGTCGCAGTGTGTGTCAAGCTACAGTCTGAAATGTCTCTCCACAATCTTTTCTTCACAAGTGATTCCAAGTGACTCTGAATTTACTTCCTGTTGTTCTGTGGAAAAGCATTAGGGTTGGAGCAGCCAGCCCACACGATTACTTAATGTGTGAGTTTCAAAGTTCACCAAAGAGAAGTTCCTGAGAAGTGGCTTTGGTAATAAAATGACTCACACATAAACAGAGGCTTTACAACATATACTACACACACATTTGCTGTGTTATCTCAAAGGTGACACGGACACACTTAAACAAATGATATGACTTTAACAGTATGTTATATTATGCCAAGAGAAGCTTTCATGTACTTGAGAGCTTGATTTCCTGGAGGCAAACACGTCCAATTCGATTACAAAGTCTTGTTTTTCCTCAATGTTATGTGACCAAGTGACCCCAAATTAATGTGGCATTGTAAACTACTCTGAAGACAAAGACACACCTCTTTAATTTGATTTGTGTGTGTTTTATTCTTTAAATTATTATTTGTTATCAAGAATTCAACATTTTTCAAATAGAAAAGTCAAATAGTTTCAATGAAATTTGACCAAGCATGGAATTATATTCCTGACAAGCAGTACAAACCGTTTTGAATTGGATTTCAGTGTTTAAAAAAATGTTCTATTAATATTTATTGAAAATTCAGCATTTCCCTAAAGGCCCTGTCACACTGTCCCGAAATTGACTCCCGATGGACACACGAATATGGAATTGTGAATTTCGCACGAAGATGGCCCCGAACCACACACGAAGGCAACATTTACATTACATTTAAGACATACAACTGCAATGAAAGTACCAAAAACAATTATGTTACAGTACTATGATACTGTACTGATATCTTCAGACTTTGTTCTTTACTTTATCCGTCTTTATATGTAGAAAATATTACGTTTTCTCCGTAATGTTGTTTCCATAGCAACAACAACTTCCTGTCAACTCTCCTTCAAAATAATATATTATATCCTTTTTAGTTTCACAGAACACAAATTGGGTTATTTACATAATATGTTTACATGATTTTGTTGTGCAATAAAACAACCCGATGGACACACGATAAAGGAAATGTTCAAATTCGGCTGTGATCGTAGCAACATCGGGCCATTCGTGAGGGCATCTTAAGCCATCGTATGACTGCCGGTGGAGTTTCTCAGGCTCTGGCAGCAACTTCGTGAGCGGTGGCAAAATCTTTGGCATGAAACTAAAAAGGATATAATATATTATTTTGAAGGCGAGTTGACAGGAAGTTGTTGTTTCTATGGAAACAACATTACGGAGAAAACGTAATATTTTCTACATATAAAGACGGATAAAGTAAAGAACAAAGTCTGAAGATATCAGTACAGTATCATAGTACTGTAACATAATTGTTTTTGGTACTTTCATTGCAGTTGTATGTCTTAAATGTAATGTAAATGTTGCCTTCGTGTGTGGTTCGGGGCCATCTTCGTGCGAAATTCACAATTCCATATTCGTGTGTCCATCGGGAGTTAATTTCGGGACAGTGTGACAGGACCTTTAAGGAAAATTCCCAGCTTTTTGAAAATAGCTTCCATGTGCTATGACCAAGTCACTACACGTTTATGCAGCATTGCTATACTATGCTGCATGTGTAAGACACACCTTTTTTAATAGAAATTAAGTGTTTTTTAAATTAAAATATTTTATTGAAAATTCAGCCTTTTTTCTTTTGCAGTACATTTTTTCTCAATAGCTTCCATGTCATGTGACCAAGTGACATCACATCAACACATCATTGCAAAACTCGGTTTTACAAGTTGTAATATCACTCCTGAAAAGCAGGACACACCTTTTTATTTTTGCACTATATGATATATGGATTTTCTAAATGGATTTTAGTGTTTTACATTTTTTATATGAATATTTTATTGAAAATTAACCATTCCTCTTGAAGTCTTGCTTTGTCTATAGCTTCCATGTCATGTGAACAATTGACTCCAAATCAATGCAGCTGAGGAGGTAACACGTCTTTTAATAGCATTTTTCTAAAATATATTTTCTATTTTTTATGAATATTTGTTGAAAATTCTGCTTTTTTGTTAAGAAAATTCTTATTTCTTTCCAATAGCTTCATTAATTGATCAATGGTTTGCTTATGACCAGGTTATCATGTCATCAAAACAGTCGATTGTCATTGATTGATTTGAACATTTTAATACATTTCAAAGAAGACCCCCCCCCTCATGACCCCTCAGATTTAGCTGACTCATCAATTTGGGGGTTCTGCCCTAGGGTGGGATAACAGTCTTTTTTTGCAATCACAAGTTTTTCTTTCTAGTCCTCGTTCATGTGCAAGTGGTCATCTAAATCGGCTGAATCTCTATCATAGAAGCTAAAAAGAGACAAACACTCCAAGTAAAACCACTTTTTTTTTTAACTTTTATTCATTCATACATATATATGTGTATATATGAATATATATACATATATATATTACTGTTAAAAAGTGTGACTCATCACATTATCACCTGTAAGCATAAATAATCATTTTTTTTCTCTCTTGAAACCTGGGAAATAAACCAACTGAAACAGTTATGGGTCATTTTCAGCACCATTGAATAGTACATTCTCTATTTTGCATCAGGATATAAAAATATACAGATATAGTGTTTTTCTTCTTCTTCTTTAAAACATTCTTTCCGTGTTGTTCAATGGCATGAAACAAGAGAGGAAGAAAATACCTCATGCTGACAATGAGGATTGTTAGCGTGGTTATCGTCTATATTATTAATCCTTAGCAGATCCGTACTCCACTGTCCTTTCATCCGCTCACAGCACTTTCAAAACATCAGTAGCAGCCACACGTGGGAGAAAACAAAAGAAAAGAAAACACAAGTTCGGAGGGTCGTCCTCTGAAACATGTCACGCTCACAGTGCCATCGGCCTCCCAGCCACCGTAGGAGAAATAGCGAGAGGTGGATGTCGGGCGGAGACGTTGGGAGTGTGTTGGTGTCGGGGGAAGGGAAGGCCGTGAACAGCGAGCGGGCCGGGGGGGGCTGCAGGCGCCTGTAACCACCAGCAGTCCTGTTACTGTCACTCTCCACAGTCCAAAGTGTGGGTGCTGTTGATGATGACCCCCCCCCCAAAAAAACATTCAAAACTAAATTCAAAGCAAAAAGGTCAAAATTGCAACAAGTGAGTGTTAATGGTTCGAGGCAAACGAGAAGAGAGAGAAGCGAAGGCGCGGTCAGGATGCTCGCAGTGCATAGAGAGGGACAGCTTTACTGGAAGGTCGTCAGATGGGATTATTGCCCTTTGTCAGCCTTGCACACTCACACACTCACTCACACGGTACACACACACTTCCACCCAGAACACGAGAGTAGAGACGGTGAGAGAGAAAGCAGGGCTGGTGGATCAGTGGTTTCCAGAGGGTTCCTCTCTCTGGCCTCCAGGCTGGTAGGGATCTGTGTGTCTGTGTGTGTGTGTGTGTGTGTGTGTGTGTGTGTGTGTGTGTGTGTGTGTGTGTGTGTGTGTTTGTGTGTGATATATGTCCCAACACAAGTCCAAAATAGGCTCAGCTCCACCAGCTCTCTTTATTTTCCCCATCAGTCTGTCCGTCGGTCAGAGAGGTGTTGTGGCCCGTCGTCTTCCAGGAGGCTTCACATCCGCGAGGAGGAGGCCAGCTCGTAGAACAAGACGTAGGCGTCGCTGCTGCGCACTTGGCTGGAGGACATTGGCGTTACTCTGGGGAGGAACAGAGGGGAAAAGGTTTAATGGTGAGAAAAAAACACTTAATTCGATTTTTTAAAACCGGCTTCTCATTATCCTTTGGTTGATGTAAACAGAAACTGCAATGTATCCATGTCAGGGAGCATAAAGATACATTTTGTGATCCGTCCGCCATGTTGAAAACCGTTGAGTCAAAATGAAGATTTGGTCACTAGGCACTAGGCAGAGCACAACCTTCTAGTTGTACAGCTCAAGCTGATAGCTGTAGAACAAGAGGGTCTTCCAAACCAATCTGATCCAACAAACTGGCTTTTTGGTCTTTGTTATGATCGTTTCCGTCCAAGAGACACAGACTAAAACTGCTTTTCTAAAAAGTTGAATATTTTCAACTTGAATCACTCTGAGCAGTCACACAAAGCCAAAACGCTCAGAATCAAAGAGGCTGGGCGCTGCGCTCTTTGGTCGCATGAGATGTTATGTGCTGTTTTCATTGGAATCAATAACAAATGTGTCCCTTAGGCAGGAAGAGAATCTTCATTTATATTTGGTTAGCGCTGACAGTTGGACAGTTTGGTGACAGCTCGCCAGCAGTGACTGACGTTGCACTAGCGACTCCTCGATTGGTTTTTCTTCAAGATTGAAAGTTTTAAGAAGCTCATTTTGTATATGTTATTCAAGCATTTAAAGCTAGATGATTATTATTATTAAACAGTAACTTAGAGAGTTCAGTTGACAATATAAAATACCAGAATTACCCTTTAATTGTAATTTATGAGTAAGAATACATTTGAGCAGGTTTCGTTTATTTGATTACATTATGGGTTTGTTCAGTCATGAAAAATGACCATAATAAACTATATATTAGTAAAAATGTAGCATGCTTTAATGCTTCAAAAACATAATGCCAGTTTGTGTACATTTCCATATTTTAAGTCACCTTTAAATGGTTATTAATGCCCTAAGGTGTTTCTCTGCACATACTTGGTGCATGTTTTTATCCTGATGAGAGCACACTAGTAGAACCTACCTGGAGTCATTAAACGTGTACCATTCTCCCGAGTTGGGGTTGCGACAGTAGGCTGTGTAGTGGCCGCCCATAGTGGTGCCTGAGTGGTTGGACACTGCGTACAGGTTGTACACTGCATTGACTGAAACGGGACAAAAACACACTTAAAGCCAGCACTTCTTTCATAACGACACACTTGAAAGGGCACAGTTTCTCACCCCATTACTATTAGATATTATTTTAGATGTAATATCGGCTGGGATGCAAAACATAAATCAGATATCTGGATGGTAGATGGGTACTTACGGCAGTTTTCCGAGGCAAACTCCCGCAGGTCGAGATCCTTCATGGGGAAGTTAACAAAGGTGGACAGTTTGCTGGTTCTGCGGGCCTCAGAGAAACGTTTCAGGTCTGAGCGGGAGGGGAGTCAAGGAACAAACTGCTCTGTGTGAACCTTTCAGTACGCTCCGACAACACTTTGTACAACTGTGCAGAAGCTCTGTTATTGGATGGAGTCAAATATCTACACTCGTCATCAACATGTGGCTAGTGGATGTGAGTGCAGTCTACAGACTTTCTACCAAACTGGGTTTTAAAAACATGACCCGTCAGAGCGCTTTCAAACAACTGGTGTGCTTTTACAATGTCAAAGCAGCAGGTTCAATAGATCGACGGCATATTAAGGTCATTGTAGGTTAAACAATTATAATTATGCAGCAAGATAGGCAATATTCAGAAAAAAACTGTTTTAGTTTAGTTATGTGAATTTGCAAGAAAAAACAAAGAAATATAAAAAAAGGTGTATTCTCTGAGATTAAAGTGGTAAAAAAAAAGTCAATTGCAATAGTTCTTTATTAAGTCATCCATTGAAGATTATCTTCTTCTTGTGAATTTGACACTTTTATTCCAAAGAATATATATTTTTCTCTTGATGTTTTCTCGAAAAATGTTACAAGAAAATTGCCACAAATGTAGCAAATCACGGTCACATAGTATTTGATCTGATTGCTCATCCTGCTGACTGAATCTAACGGTGATTGCACTACAATCATCAGAATGTATTACTTTGTACTACAGTGTTGCCATAGATCACACACTAACACAGGGATGGGCAACTAGGATGGTGGTGGGGGCCACATAATGTATGTACTGGCCACCAGGGGGCCGCAGATTCACTTGGAACACACACACAAATTCCATGTGTTGTATGTAATTATTAACAAATACATTAAGTCTGACATCTTCATTGACATTTTACAATCTTTCAGGGAACATCCTCTAATAAGCTCACTAAACAAATATCAGTTCACAGAAATGTTATTTAATGTTTGTATTGAACAGGTTACAGTGGAATACAACTATTTTAAACTATTGGAAAGCACGGGAAATGTGTGTGTATTGAGATTAACCATTAAGATGACATAAACATGAAGTCATGAACACTAACCCAGACATTAGTTGTCTAACTTGAACCTAAGACACTTGTAGCCTGTCTCTGAATGTCAGCTGTTCCTCAGCGCAGCCCCCCTCCCTCCCGCTGAAATTATGAATGAAAAGCGTATAGTAATCAGATAACACGGCAGGGTCCGTGACAGTTTGTTTTTATCTGATTTCAAATAAACAAAGTCTTGGTTTTAAGAATATTAAACTTGTTTCGCCAAATTCAGATGATAAAAACAACTTTGAAGCTAAGGCATAATTACAAGCGGCAACTTAACGTCACAGCGGGCATAACAACAGCCGGTGTTTCTAGTGAGTGTTTTAAAAAAAACGAATTACGTTGTTTATAAATGAATCTGAGGGCCGCAAAAAGAGGAGGTGGGGGCCGCCATTTGCCCATCCCCACACTAACATCTTGATACTCTCCCAGCTATTTGCTCACTGCAAACATCACATTACATGTACCAGCCACTACTGAGGAAAGGATACGCAGCACTAAGATCTTGGGGAACTTCTGTATTGTGAACTTCTTAGTACATCTTCTCCTGGCTTTACACCTGTAGCACGTCTGTGGAGAGGAAATACAGTTTGATTCCAGGACATGGAGCAGACTTGGGGAGTAATGGATTACAAGTGACAGGATTACATAAAAAAAAGGTAACTCTATTCCCTTACAGTTACATTCCTATAATACTAGCATGATGCCAATGCAAGATAAAGTGGCTATGTGGACACAGGCCCTAAATATGCTGAGTCATGTTCTAGCACTGAGGAGTCATCACCGCTCCGATGGTTCTTACCGGTTTCTCGTCTCCGTCCAGGACGTCTTCTTTGGTGAAGAGCCGCATGCAGTCCATCAGGCTCACCTCACCGTAGCCCTTCTGAGCACAAACATAGATGCATTCACATTAGCATGCGCACACACACACACACACACACACCACACACACACACACACACACACCACACACACACCACACACACACACACACACACACACACACACACACACACACACACACACACACACACACACACCACACACACACACCACACACACACATCACACACACACACCCACATCACACACACACACACACACACACACACACACACACACACACCACACACACACACACACAACACACACACACACACACACACACACACACACACACACTCACACACACACACACACACACACACACACACACACACACACACACCACACACACACACACACACACACACACACACACCACACACACACACACACACACACACACACAGACAGAGACAGGGGGAAAACCAAAAAGCTCATGTTTAGAGCTGTGGGAAGATATTTGTAATTGCTTTAAACCATCGTGCAATATCAATATTGTAATATAAGACTAGATATATTGTTACATTTAATATATCGTAATTTTGTACCCTGGTTTTCAAGGCTGCATTATAGAGATATGATGTTATTTTCTGAATTTAACAGACTTTAGCTGTTCTATTATTTAGCTTAGACCACTTAGTCTTTATGACCACATTAATGTAGATTATAAATCTAATTCTTATTGTTTAAATATGTTGCAAAAGCATCAATGCTCAACCCTACTATAGAGTGGTGCAGTGATGACGTGTTTTTGTCACCACCCGGAAAGTAAGCCTCGCAATGTTTCCCTCGACAAAAAGCAATGGGATTTCTCCACTGGATTTTGCTATATTGCAGAAAATAAGCTCTGTGGCAAACACACATTATGATATTCAACAACTTTTGTTCAGCAGGATAATCTCGACTAATAACCCAATTTATTGATTTTTGAAGCGTAAATGCAATCGCCAAATGTAATACGCTAACGCTAGGCTATAAACAATCTACATCACATTCACATGGCTGCCCATCACCTCCGCTAAGCTAAAGGCGGCTAATGTTTGGCTTGCTGACGTTTAGCAGGTTATTTAGGCACTTGTTAGCAACCGCCGTTTTTATGACACATAAAAGCTTCGGACATTCATATAGGGAGTATCCACTGGCGTATTTAATGTCGTAGAACATCTCTTAAGCTTTTGTTAACCACATACCTAATTTCAAGCTTCTAACCACAAATATGTTGACTTTGAGAAGAGGGAATCGGAAGTGGTAAAATGCAACGTTTTTTCCTGGTTTAAGACTCGTTTCTGCACCACTAAATGATGGTGATTTGATTTTCTTCATAGTGCCCAGCTCTAACTAACAAGAAGCACAAAGAAAGGTCACCTCTGCACTACCTATTGTGCTGACATGTGTCTGCTGACCTTCTGGGACTTGTTATGTAAGGCTCACCAGTGTGTATGTGTGTGTGTGTGTTTCCTAACCTTGGCGATAGGTAGAGAGAGATCCCAGAAGGGGTCAAAGACGGTGGAGCAGAACCCGCAGTGACTGCAGGTTAGAGAGCTCTTCAGCTGCCCCACGAACACGTCTGCAGAGATAAAAACAAAAACACGATGCTGATCACTGACTCAACACATCTGGCATGAAAAACAGTGACAAAAGATGTATGTTTTATTCGGCTTTTCTGTTCTTCTTCATGCCGACACAAAACAAAAAACGAATATTACAAATATAGAAGAGATTGAATGTACACACTTATACATTAAAATGGATGGTGATGCTTTTCTACTTACCGACTATCTTACTGTCTTCTCTCTCCAGATATTTGCTCCACATCTTCTTCCCTTTCTCTTCGTCCCTGAACATGGAGCACAGGAGTCTGTTAGAGAACTGGATGAGTGCAGAGTCATTGAGAAGATGGCCAAGAGAGTCAGAAACACACTGATCAGCTGTTCTGATTCAGAAAAGGAGTTAATAAGGAAATGGGTCAGAGCAGAAAACACACACTACTAAGGCACCTGACCTACTTTATTACAGCTTCCCCCTGGGACATGATTTCAAGCTGGAAATGGATCTGCATTTAGTTTGATAGTAGTAAGGCACTGGGTTTTGTTTTGAGTGTAGTACACAGAGATGAACCCTTAAACATGGCGTTAGATAACTGATAATCACATCCAATAAGAGTCGGAGCGTTACTCTGACTTGGGAGCCACAGAGGAAACAACTCAACAACACAGGAGGTGAAGTGTCCCATGAGTCCTCATTGAGAGCGTAAGGAAGAATCTTAATGACTAATGATGCCTCTGTCTAATCCCTGTTTACAAACTGTATACTATCATGGGCGGTTATGATACAATGGACTCCTTGGCAAAGACACGCACGAGACCCCATCTCTTCTACTAGAGAGGCTCTGATGTTGTTTAGCCTTTTTGTGTCTCTTTGTAGGCGTTTCATGTTTCTACGTTGTCGTTTTGAAGTCAACTGGAGCTCCACAAACTACAAGCAAGTCTGTTTTTGTTTGTCTTTCTTTTTTTTTCACGTGGAACAGGGTTGGCTTTAGAAGTCTTATTTAACTTTAAAGTTCACTTGACACTTGGTTCAAATCAGCTGTTGTTGTTACAGTTTGTAGTAATTTCTATCTGCACTACTTAATACTGTAAAATCAATGTTCTAAGATAACAACGTACTATATATACTTGTACTATTACTACCGCTATCTGGCAGCCACTTACTAACTTTCTACTTGTTCCACTTACATTTCATAATGCTGTCACTTATCTTTTCTACCGTGAACATGCACTTATTTCATTTGAATGTAATTACTTATTGTACTGTCACTGTGCTGTAACAATGTACATGTCCACTCTGTGGGATGATTAGAGGAGTTCTGATGTCATTTTGTGTATCTTTTTAGGAGTGAAAGATCTTGCTTTGTTTTGTTGTCCCTTTTTTGGTGTCATTTTGTGTCTATTTGGTTGTTTTGGCTCCATTGTGACTCTCTTTGTGTTTTCTTGCAGCTGTTTTACATTAGAAGAGTTTTGCCTTTTTTGTAGTCAGCTTGTGTCTCTATGTAGTCATTTGTAAACGTATAATGACATTCAGGTGAAGGCCAGGGGGACCGAGGACTTACGGCAGGTGGTCAAAGTCCTCCACCGAGCCTCTCGGCCTGACAGTGACCCTGTTGACCTCGTTGTGCAGACCGTCCAGGAGGAAACGCAGGAACTCCTGAGCATCCTGTTGGCTGCAGGACACACAAACACTCAGTCAGAAATGTAAATGTCAGCTGATTTTACTGTCATATCTCTAGACTCTAGTTGTGTGATTATGAGACAGAGGGGGGTGCTCCTAAAAGATTTACAAAAACAAACATTGCTAAGAGTGAAGGGTGTAACAAAGCTTACTTGTATCCGACAAATCTGGGAGCATATCTCTGGATCTGCGTTTTGAATTCTGACGGGCTGACGGCCTCGCTGCTGGACGACGTCCACATGGTCTGTAACAGCTTGGCAAATTCTGCAACAACACCAACACTCAAATGACTCACACACTCAGCGGATTCTACATAACAGTGTATTCATGTCAAGTTAACAGCTCCATTGTTTTATTTAGTCAAATTCAAGCAGTTTAAAAAAGGTACCTAAACCAAAAATGTCCGGACTATTGAAATATTGATCATCACATCTAAATTGTTATTATAAATGCAATTGCATCAATTAAAGAGTACATAACTCCTATAGTGTGTATGTATATTGTGACTGTTTGTTTTACCAGCTGTTCATATTAGCTTTGTGTTAAATAGGCATTGTTGAAAGTGCATTCAAGCTTTTTCCAAACATTCAAGACGGTGCAAACCTTGCTAAAAGGCCAAGGAACATATTGTCAGAGCCTACAAAAGATGACATAGAAGCAGATCAGCTGCAGAGGTAAAGAGGTAATGAGTGTGAGGTCTGTGGGAGGTTCTGGTTCCAGCCTCTAGGGGGCCTGTGTGACTTGTCTCTCACCTTCCATGAGGGCGGTGTTGGTGCGGCTGTTGTTGTTAAGGTCTCTGCGGTGCGAGTTGTGCAGGCAGTAGTCCCGCAGGCTGTGTGTGTTGCTGAGACACTGCAGGATACTGTTCATGAAACACTGCAAGGAAAAACAGCAAACAGTGAGATTCCATGACTGATAACATCAAGTTCCATTCAATAATGATACTTACACATTTATGTACAAAATGATGGCAAAAACCCACCAGTATTCTTACAATCTAGTTTGAACAATAACATATATTTACTGATTGAAATGTTGTCCATAGCTGAATCAAGCAAGTTAAAGAGGACATGCTAATTTCCAGGTTAAAATGTGTATGTAGTGTCTCTACTGTGACATGTTTCCATGCTTTAATGTTCAAAAAGCTCTATTATTCTCATACTGCCTGTGCTGCAGCACCTCTTCTCACCCTCTGTCTGAAACCAGAGCCCAGTCTGCTCTGATTGGTTAGCTGGCAGGCTCTGTTCTGATTGGTCAAAGTTTTCCCACCCCTTAGCCTATCACATAAAATGTGTTGGAGCTCTAGCCAATAGAAGCGTGAGTGTGACATAGTGATGTCACTATATTACGGTAGTAAAAAGGACTCCAATGAGCGTTTCAGGCAGTGTGTGGGAGAGACACTGGGATTGTAGCCTTTGCAAAAAGCCAATACACACTACAGGGAAGGGAAAACCCCAAAAAGCATAAATAGCCTAACCACTTTTTCACAGAAGGTAAGATGAGGAGATTGATACCACTCTAATATACCCTAAATAATAATGTACCCTAAATATGAAGCTTTAGCCAACTGGGATTAGCTTAGTTTAGCTTAGCATAATGGGAACAAAATTGCAGACAATTTGCAGTCTTTAAAGTCGAAGAAATAGTCCTTTATAACACCAGAATAAAAATGGCTTTAAAAAAGGTGCTGCTTTTCCACCTTGGTTTATTCATAACAGGGACAGTCCACCTATAAATCAAACCTACATCTTTTTCATCCTACCTGTAGTGACTGCTCGGTGATACAGTATAGTATATATAGTACAACTACAGGGATTACAGTGTATATTTCTACAGGCTTTATTTCCAACACTCCTACCAAAACTATTCAAATTGATAAATATCACTACAGGTAAGCGGATGAATATGTATTTTTTTGATGTTGGGGTACACTATCCCTTTAAGCTAAGCTAACCGTCTGTTGTCTCCCATATCATGTCTTTAAAGACAAAGTGAAAGAAGGGTCGGCCCGGTGCCGTTTGAGAAGATCAAGAGACACAGAGTCCTCCCTGGTCCAGAGTTCAGAGCGCTCTGATTAGGTGACTACACACACACACACACACACACACACACACACACACACACACACACACACCACACACACACACACACACACACACACACACACACACACACACACACACACACACACACACACACACACACACACACACACACACACACACACACACACACACACACACACACACACACACACACACACACACACACACACACACACACACACACACACACACACACACACACACACACACACACACACACACACACACACACACACACACACACACACACACACACACACACACACACACACACACACACACACACACACACCCACACACACACACACACACACACACACACACACACACACACACACACACACACACACACACACACACACACACACACACACACACACACACACACACTTATTTTAAGAGCTGTCCTTCTGCCTGTTGCCTGGTAGATAGAAACTCTGGACCACCCCTCCTGTGTGGATTCAACAAACTGCACTCAGTGTAACACCACCCGGAGGAGGAGGAGGAGGAGGAGGAGGAGGAGGTGTGTGAAGAATGAGCTGTTTGGCTCCACACACATTTTCAGACTTAGATGTGGTACGAGGGTACTTACTGTGTTTCCTAGGTTCTTTAATCCTACCAGGCCTTGGGCACTCTTTGAATTCTGAAAGACAAAAACACAGAATATACAGATGAAAATCTATCTCATAATGTTACTAAATGACAACTAGATGTATGTATTTAAATTCACACAAGAAGAAATAAAGGGTCGTCTACCCAAAACGCATTTTCTTGCCATTTTTAAAAAGTGAACATTTTTAAATATGAGAGTCTGGTTTTTATTCCAGGAGCCATAAGACATGTGAACAGAACAGTGAGATTAAAGAGCCTAAAAGATTTGATGTAAGATTGGTTTTAACTTGAATTTCCTGTCTTGTACTTTTGTATGTTTCCGTCTGTGCCTTCACTTGCAGTTTTATCTTGAATTGATCAGACACAACAATCTCTGATAAATACTTTGAATACTTTTGATTCTCTTCTCCTTTGCTACAGAACAGTTTTAGCTCCAGGTTTAATACATTTTGGGAACTATTGACCTGTGACGGGAGTGTCTACCTGACAAATGTATTAAGTAATAACTATATGTATGATTAGCCGAAGAGGAAGAATAAGTTAGAAACAACATTTAAACACTTAAAAGTAGTAAAGAGTAAGCTAGTACAGTAAAGTACATTGCGTCATCAACAAGGCTTGGGCCCCCCACTGACAGACCCCCTCAAAAGACACTATGCATCACATTAATGCACATCATGGGACCAAATCTGGTTCATTTAAATAATTTAAACCCTGCAAAGAAACACATTTCTGTCCTAGGCCCCCTCGTTTTAAATCTGCAGGGCTCACCAATTCCAACAATGCACATACTTGCATTTTCCATGTATTTTACTCTACTTAGTTTGTTGTATGTTAAAGGTCCCATGTCATGGCCATTTCTACTGATCATAATTCCAGTGTTGAGGTCTACTAGAATAGATTTACATTGTTCAATGTTCCAAACTCACATTGGTTTCTCATACAGCATCTCTGTATAGTCTGTGTATTCACTCTCTGTCCTACACGCCTTGTTGGAGCTCCTGCCGGTTCAGGCAGAGTTCAGGCTGAGAAATCCGCGGAGCTGCAGCTGAGAAAAGATTGAGTGTGTGTGTGTGAGGAAGACGTGACGTTACGTCACTATACCCAAAACGTCACTGTACTTACTACACTATAAGAAGAAAACAATGGAAAAAGAGAAATCTCCAACGAGGCGTTCTGGGGCAGCGTAGACAGGTCTTTTCTGTGTTAGAGTTTTACTCGCTACAGGGTGTACTTTGAGGGTTTGTGACTCTGCAGACCGTTTACATGCAGAAAAACCTTCATAACACACAAGGGGACGGGTAATAACCGGAAAAGCATGACATGGGACCTTTCATATATATTTTTTATTTATATTTTAATTTATATTTCTTTAAATTCTAATAGTTTTTTAATTGTGTTCATTATAGGTCTATTTTGGACCTTGTTGGAGTTATTTGTGATGTATTATTTAATACTTTAACATGTATTTTCTTGGCGTTTTTGTTTACATTAAATGTATCATTAATTGGTGTTTAGCACAGGGCTCTGGCACAGGGTGATTTGGGCTCGGGTATTTAGGTATTTATTGACAGGTTGAAGTGGGATTGGTGCGCCAGAATGGGCAAATGTTTTTTTACCAGGGAAAGAAATTAGGAATGCCACAAGAAAAGGAACAAAGGGTAGGATTGGTTGAACACTTTATACTGTTGGATTATTGGATCATTGGAATAAACTGCACAAAAGACATGTGCAAGCCAGACATGTGACAAGGAGATGATCTGTATACCCTCCACAGTTGCATTTTGTGTTGGTCTGGGAGTAACAGTAGGAGGTTTTTAATGAGCATTATCTTGAAAAAGGAACTTGTTTTTGTTATCTCTTAGTAGGTTTCTCTCATGGTAGATATCACGGAATCAGTGCACCTTAAGGATTTTCTATTCTGCAGCAAATTCTCAGCTTAACACATCATGAAATCTAGACATTTAAACTCAGCCAAACACAACCGAGGCAAAGCTTATAATCATGATCTTAGAATGGTACCAGAGTGCTTTTCTGAACTTATGTCATCACTTGCTGCAGCTCGACTTCATGACATAAGTTGAGTAGTTATATAATTGCGTAGATAGAGGAAGAACTAACAAAGAATGCGGGGGTGGAGAAGGAATAAACTTGTGACTCGACTGAGGAGCAGAAGCAGCTTACAATAACGCTTCAGAAAGCCACATGGAATTCATTTCACATGGCTGAATCATGCCTCAGCAAAAGAAATGTCACGTTTTTCTGCTATTGTGACATTTCTTTTGCTGTTCAAGAGTTTTCATTGTGGCATGATACAGTACGTATGAGAAACCAAAAGCTCATTTGACCAGCTTCTATTTTCTGTATGAAAACAATCTGACTGGAGGCCAAGCAGAGAAACTAACAGTGTGGTAACGTGAGCTTGTATTTTCTAGGCAGAGGCCGACTGTGCAGGGCCGGCAGCCTAACACCAGTCACCTGATCTCACAGGCACTGGAAATCTATCTTACCCACAAGGCCCCCCCCTCCCATTACCCTCACCTGCAGTGAAGCTCGAGCGCAATATCTGCAAGAACTATTCATCAAGACCGGCATGAGGTGACCAGAGGTGAGACCACAGCAAAGGTTAAAAGGGCTGTACTGTACAATTGTAGTTTGAGGGTAAGAGAGTGAAAGCTTCAATGGTCAAAAGATCATTTCAATTGAGGCTTGAAATCTAAAAAGAAAAGACACTCAATAGAGCCCCTAAAGCAGTGTTTCTCAAACTTTTTCATACCAAGGACCACTTAACCAATAAAAAAAACACTCGCGGACCACCTAACTCCACAAATATCCAAAAACACATCGTTTTTCTAGAATAGATTACAAATCGCCTGAAAATGATACAAACAAGTGGCAACATGTGTGATGAAGGTGTTGCGCTGGGCTATATCATGCCATCGAAAGTGAAACTTAAGCTCGCTCCATTGCGGAAATATTTCCGCTAGAGTGCGGAAATCTTTAATTAATTAATTAATTTCAAATGTGAAATGTTACCAATATACTCACGGACCACTAGGGGGCGCTCACGGACCACCAGTGGTCCGCGGACCACACTTTGAGAAGCACTGCCCTAAAGCAACAATGCTTTAACTGTTCGCTCAAATCAATCAGCGAGTGTAAATATGTATATATAGCAAGTGATAGTAGCTTGTTTCCTTACATTGAGACCAATTTTTAATCCAACAAGAGAATCAGTTAAGAACTTTCAACTAAAGCTGCCTTCACATGTTACATGGTTAAAGCGTTTCTGTGCTGACGTTGCCGTTGTGTTTCTATGGAGAAAGTGCTGCTCAAAATGTTCACAGAGCACTGCGATGAAAGTTCAAATGATTTCATCTTTGACCTCTGTTAGCGCTGACCTTTCAACGCGCAACCAAACAGATAGCCAGCAGGGGAGGTTATAGAATTGAAACTTAACTAGCTGTTTTCACCACAGGGCTCTGCAAACCCTGGATGTGACCTGACCTGACAACCTCACAGGAACGACCACTCTCTGTACGATGGATGACCTCGCTAACCCAGAAAGGTAATCATCTGTAACACCATAAAGAAAGGTATTGGAAGACTTGTAGTGTCAGAATGTGTTATATGAGCGTTCGAGAAATGACTGGAAGTGTCTCATAATCCTTAGATCGCTGCTGTGTATCAACATAAGAAGGACATAATGCTGCATACACACTATTACTTTTTCGCTTAAAAATGCAATGCTTATTCTAGAGTCCAACAACTCTTTGTTTTTAAACCCCTAAAAGTCAAGCTTATGAAATCCCTTTTATTTAAAAACTCCATTAATGCGTTTCAGTACAGTACACGTCACTTGTTAGACGCTTTTATCCAAAGAGACTTACATACATTGAATACTGTGGGCGATCCGCACAAAAACTGAGACTTTCTGAATATAATGGCTCAAGCTAGTTGGGGATGTAAGATAAGATAAGATACTTTATTGATCCCAAATTAGGAAACTTAACTAGTTGTTTCCAACGAAAGGCTCTGCCCTAAACCCTGCAGTTAGCAAAGGGCAAATAGCGTGTCATGTGAATGCAGCTTTAAGCCTATTTCATTTCTGTCATTTGAGATTATGGTTAACATATGCACAAGGGTTTAATAATACAGTATTAATGAAGGTATTCCTTTCTTTCTCTTACTTGTTGTTTTTTGAGACTTTTTGTTCATAGCACTGCTTTTGCAATGAGGCTTATAGAAAATGCCGCTTGAGCTCCAAAAGTCTGCATTTTAGCTCAATCAAATATGTGCAACTAGTACCAGGATGCTGCTGTGCATTTGCAACATTAGGGTGGCAATTCGCCCTGTATCGGAGCTTTAAGATGACAGTTTGTCACTTTCCAGACCCAGAGGGATCCTCTTTGTTTAGAGAAAAGACACGGATTATGACAGCAGAAAACAGTCAGTAGTCCCGTCTTTAGCTATGCTTTTTGCCTTCTCGAGGTTCATGTGATCAGAAAAATGTCGGTCTGTTCATTAGTGACGTGGGCCTGGAACTTATCAAGTTATGAGCAGTGTTACAGGAAGGGCTTTTTTTTACTATTACATAAATACCCTCTGCCATCTGTCTCTTATTCAGGAGGAAAGAGTCAGCATGTGGAGGGGGAAAATCTACAGTTTAATTAACTGTGGCTTATCTAAATCCTCCGCTCTGTAAAGTCCACTGTAATGAAAAGAGCACTTTACTAGCCACGACCGTATATCACTTGAACACACACTTCCTGAAGGAATCCGGTTCGACAGGAGGCAGGAAGGATTCTCTCTGGTCAGCTCACTTTTTATTTCATTACAGAGACACAACAGCACTGTTGGAATGTGACAGTCTGACTGTGCTGCACTCTGCTGAGTAATGCCACGGCCGGTTCCCAAAAATAGCAGCTTTGCTTTTATTAACGCCCGCTTGTCCCCTCGCCATTGGCTGATACTTCGGCTGGCCCTGGAGACGTCACGAGGATGAAACGACGTCCCGGCTCTGTCTCCGTA